ATTTTCGCGGCCAAGGTGGTCGCCCACCCTGCGGCCCCGAATAGCAGGTGAAAGTCGCACGCTTGCCGACCAAAGGCCGGGGGGCAGACTCGAGGGGGACGGGGGCGCTGCCTCTGCGCTGAGGTGGTTCCCGCCCGGGCTGTTGGGACCGGTCGGTGCCCGCTGGACGTGGCCTTCATTTGGAGTCTGCGTCATTGCCCTTTGGAAGCATTTCGTACGGGCGTTTCCTCGCGCTCGTGCGGATTACTTGCAGCCCTGGTCGTACATTGCTATGTTTTGCGTTACTGCAGCGGCTCGCTGGGGAACGCGGAAACAGAGGTATCTCTACCTACTACGTAGGGCTGCTCCATGCACTTACCTATGCGATGCCACAGGTAGACGCGGCAGGGCCAATACGGCTCGACCTCGACGTCGAGCCACTGGCGTGACGCCTGGCTGACCGACAGCCCAAGGCGCGGCTCGACGGAGACGGCCAGGGGCGCGCACCCCGACCTCGCTCACCTCCCCTCCCTCCTCGGCCCTCACAGTCGTCGGCCCCGTCGCTGGCACTACCTGGAGGGCGCCAGCCATCTTTGCCTGGACCACGGACGACCCCGCCAAGCGCGCGCGTGGACGGTGGAGGGGCAGCTCAGGGAGGGTCCCAACAACCCTCTGGGCACCAAGTAGCTGGTACCTTTGACAGCGCCAACGTAGGGCAAAAGGTAGCCGAGGGCGATGGTCGGCCAGGCACGCGGGGCCCGAGGGGCGCGGCTGCGAGCGTCTGTCTTCGGGCCATGACGGGCCCGAGAGCTGAAGCCAGAGCAACTCGAGTCACTTGCCCAAGAAGAATGAATGGGAATGGCCCGAGGAGTCACGGGATGCAAGACAAGGGAACCCGGCCCGGCACAGGCGCAGGAGTTGCCTAGCGAGTGCACAAAAGGAGAGAGAGAGAGAGAGAGAGAGCCTTCCTCGGCGCCGGACGAAGGCGATGCCAATCGTGCACAACAACAAAACACCACCTCCGCGCCCCAGCATCAACAGCTGCCCGGCGATGACGACTAGGGTATTATGTACAGAATACATGGACTCGCGCCCTGACGCACAGCGAGGTGAGCAACATGGGTCCTCGGGGAACGTGGGGGAGCGTCGAGCATCGAGACACGCCAGTTCCGAGGCGGTCCTGCACGACGTGAACGGACGGCCACAACAAGCACGGGCACCGCCGGCGCAGGCACATGCGAATCATCTTCACAAGCAACCCGGCCAGTGGAGCCCTTGTGCGGACGAGAACGAGGACCTGAGGTACAGTAGACATAGCACCCGGCATATCCACGTTCAGGGCTCCGTACAATTACGAGTACTGTACTGTGATAACTCGCTCACGCGCTGCTGGCCAACAAGAGGGTCCACCGACGCGGCGAAGAGGAGGCTGCACGATAGGGATCGAAGCAAACCTGCAGCAGAATAGTCATTGCGCAGCACAGCTCCGGCCCTGGGAAGAGCGGCAATTCGCGTTCGACCCGGATCGAGGCATGACGGTCCGCCAATTGCAGATTGGACCCGCACCATCACGTCTCGACAGGCGGCCCATGGTCGGCGAGGTCAGTCTCGGTTCGTGGGCAGACATGTGCAAACGCAGGATAGCGAGACGGAGCAGACGGGCGGCCAAGACACGGGTCCCGGCGGCTCGGGACCTGAGGTCGGGGTCAGCAGGCCGGCCAGCTTTCGATTGGCTTCACTCACCAGCTGGGACGGTGCGCCCCGCGCAGGCTTGGTTCGCACTTGGGGAGGCACTGCGCCGCGACCCGTCTTTGCCGTCCCCTCGCGCGACCCGATTCACCCCTTGCTGGCGACCGAGGACGTCGCCGACAGGCACGAGCACGGCCCCCACACGTCATAACACATTAGGTCCCGCCCCCAGTCCAGGGACGAGGTCGCGATGCGCGCTTCTCGTCGTGCCGACTTGGCGGGAACGGCCGGTCTCAGTCGCATGGCCACGGCCACGATGCCACGACCTCAGGAACCTTGTCATGCACTTTGCCTGCGAGGACAACGGGCCGACGATCTGGCCGCAGCTGGGACGGGCAGGGCGTGTCGTGAAGCGCGCCAACGAGACGCAGCCTCACCGTCGTCGTTGCGCCATCGGAAGCCACCAGAGACGCAGGGAAATTCCAAAGCGGGACGGGGGAAAACCTCCCCGAAGAAGCGGTCCTGCCAACTCACCCGCCACGGAGAGCCACCACCTCCGCCGTCGGTATTGTGTGCCGGGGATGTCCTTCGGGCATGTCCGCGCGCTGTATGCCCTGCATACTTGAACCGCGAGCTGGCAAGTGCGGTACTTTACGGCAGGTGGATGACTACTCGAAATGCCCAAGAGTAAAGCAATGAGCCATGAACGGGCGCCGGGATGAATAACAGAAACTGGGGGAGCATTGGCGACATCGCCGACCCCCTGCCTCGGGCGGCGCTCGCAGATGCATCAAAACCGCAGCACGACAAGCCCCTTATTCGTGCTTCCAAGGCCAGGGCGCATGCTCCCAGGCCGAGTCGAATCATTTCAATTCAATGGCATGCGCGTGGCCTTGCCGTGGCGTGACCGACGAGGGCGCAGGCGCCTCGAGGCAGAGGACCTGACGTGCACATAATTCCACGATGTCCTGTATAACAGTAGTCGCCGACGGCGCAACAAAAACGTCGCGCTCTTGTCGCATCAACTGGCAAGGGGGCGCCGTGCCTTGGCCTGCATCCTCCATCCAGATGGCATGCGGCAAACACAAGCAGCCGTCACCGAACAAGTCCGTCTGTGTCCGTCCTCAAATGCCGCGCCTACATGGCGCTCTTCAACCAGGACAGGGAGCAGCTCGTGGCCTGCGGCCAACTGAAAACCGAGTCGCATGCGAAGCATCGCGCCGACTCCGACGATCGTGCCCATCAAGCAGCGGCCGCGGGCGGCCTCTTCAACTCCAGGCCGGGGCCGCCGGGCGTCCTCGGGGCATACAGAAGTGTATGCTCGCGTCTTGCACGAAGTATGTTACTCGCTGTTCGCAGCCCGCCACGATGCTAGGGGCCTCGGTGAGAGGGAACTGCGTCCTCATCCACGCACCACCCCGTGGGACCGCCCAGCTGCATCATCTGGCGTAGCATGCACGTCAGCGCCTACCGAAGGAAGCACATCATCCCTTCTCGGTCCTTGTCGGTAGGGCCCGTCCGACGAACCACGACCATGCACAATATGTGGAGGCAAATGAATCTGCCCGAGTGCACGACGCCCCCCCAAGCAGGCACCTACTCGTACAGGCGCAACACACCAGAGGGGCTGCACGAGACTGCTCAGTTCTCGTGCTGCGCATTGGAGCGCCACAGGGCATGCACATTCGAATACGTACGTACTTTGTGGCAATCTCACTGGTTCGTGAGCGAGCACCGGCTCGTGCGCATCTTCTGCCTGGCCCGCCGCCACATCTCGTCTCCATCCAGCCATCTGCGGCGGCAGAGGCTCGCGTCCACCAGCCTGGGGGCCACTCCCACATGCCGTGCCCGTCCCGCATCAAGCTGGCACACACACATGAGCTGCCCTCACCCACACGGGCTTCCAGCAAACACCCCGGCTCTCACCGAGGTTCGGCGCGACGCTGCAACGTACGAGGAGAAGGAGAAGGAGGAGCAGCAGCAGGAGGTGGTGTGCTTGCAGTTGTGCCCATTCCGGCGACGCGTCCTTCCGACGCCTCGTCCAGGACGCACATGTGCCAAAGAGGTGATTGATGGCGCCAATGTCCTTGCGTCACACCTGCGAGTTCTTCGTAGCAAGGCAGCCAGCCAGGCGAGTGCCCACACCGGGGCAGGTGAGAGGCCATCAGGTCGTCCACGATGTGGGCTTCGAGTTGGAGCTCTCTGCGCCCTGCCTTGTCATGCAACGCATGTAATCAATTGACACCGTCCCCAAGGTAGGATCCATGTGTTGGGGGTCATGTTGGGGGGTTCTGCGGGTCGCGGCCACGGGGGGCGTCATGCAATGCCCGTTGTCGCACCTTGCAGTTATTAACCAACTTATCATACGCATCGCCTGCGTGCAAGCGTTACGTGCGTTCCCGCCGTCGCCCGCAAAACGTCCACTGCACCAGAGGCTGCCGCCGACATCACCAGGTGGGAGCCGGACTCTGTGGGCGGACGCGCGACGATGGTTCCTTGGCTCGGCTCTGCCGCTGCGACATGCAAGGTGCACTGCTCCTGCTCGTACGAAGCATTACCTACCTACCCATCGTAGCCACCCGAGGTACCGCGTATGCCTGTGGGCCGCACTTACTCCTAGGTTGCTAACCTGGCAACCTGCGAGGCACAGCGCGAAATAGAATTAACTACTCGTCTGCATGCACCCACACCACGCGTCCACACACCGCCCTCGCCGGGGCTTTCGTCTTCCCACCTGCTGCTGCCCAGATCCAGGCTGCGACCTCACGGCCTGCCATTGACCTTCTCTCATGCATGCAACGATCCGCCAGCGCTCACGTTGGGCTTGGGAGCGCGGCGCCGTCCCCCGCGCCACGGCAGATTGACGTCTGGGTGCTGCAACGACGCCATGCCCGTTACTGCCACGCTCGTGCAACCATGGTCGCTGCCGGTACGGGCGGCGGCGCCCCGACAACCAGCCACCTGTCACGCGCGGAGCACTGCGTCTTGCGCCCTGCGAGCGTTCCTGCGCCTGCTGCCATCTGGGAGTTTTGTTGCAATTCGACGTCGCCATACGCCATGTCCGTCTATAGAAGTTACAAGCCTGCACGAGTCGGGGTAGTACTGTACGAAGTACACGTCCCGTCTTAGCCGTGACCCCCCTTTCGCCCCTTTCCTATCGAGTCCACCCAATGTTCTCAAAGTCGCCGCTCTGGCCCTTGCGATAGCCAATCTCGCTGCGCCGGTCGTCGATTAGCCGGCCCCATTCGAGCAGCAGGCGGAACAGGTAGATTTCCATGTCCCTGTTGCCGAGCGCCTTTGCCGCCCACCGCTGGCCCTGCTGGCTGATCCACTCCGCGTCGCCTATGCGGCCTCGCAGGGCCGTATCTCGGCCATTCATCTTCGGTCGGTCTTCCGTCCCGGTGAAGTAGGACAGCGTCGTGTGCAGGGCGTGGTACCTCACGTCGATCGGCACGAAATGCAGCCACGGCTGGATCCGCTCCGTGTACCACGTCCGGAAGATTGTCGAGACAAACGGCACGCTTCCCGACTGCATTGTGCGCAGCGTCTGCAGGGGTGGCCCGCCGTCCTCGTCCGTCAGCAGCACGTAGCGGTATTCCAGGGGCTCCTCCGTCTTCGTTTCCGTGCCAAACGCGACTTTCAGGAGCTCGCAATTTTTTCCCTTGCAATTCGAGTAGTCATCGATGCCAACGGCAAAAGGCATGGCGTTGCTGGCCTCGGCCGCCGCCACGCGTTCGGTTCTGAATTGGTCCGTCTTTCCCGGAGTTGGCAGGACCATCCGCACTTTGTCCCGCCGGCTGGGCTTCTTGACAAGATGCAAGAGTCGAAACTTGTGGCTGCCCCGGAGTGCCTGGCCATTGATTGAGTCGTCGCCAGCCGACCCTCTCCAGAACAGGCTGTCGTACCGCCGCGGAAAATGCCACGTGCTGTCCGGCTGCAATTGTCTCGACCTGGGGATTGGGATCACTATGTCTCCAAAGTTATCCGTCTTGGACGCTCCGAACAGTGGGAGCAGTCGCTGGATTGGCGCCGACCTCGGGTTCGTCATGGAGAAGGCATGCAGATGCATGAGGTCAGCCTGTTCGCAAATTTGCAGCGAGCGCTCAAAGTCGCTCAGAAACTGGCCGCGCGAGTGCCCGCGGACGCACTTGTCGCAGAATTCGCCAATCTTCCAGTGCGGACTCGACCTGACAGGCGAATTGGGCGGGCAAGCGTCCATTTGTAGCTGTCGAAAGTCGCTCGCCCAGGTCAGCCCCCAGCCCGGCTCTTTAGACATGGTCTGCCCCTGTCTTGAATCCAGGACGCCTGCTGCTGTCTGGTTAAGTCCGGTCGACCTCTTCGAAATGAGATTGACAACGGAGCCCATATTTGCGTGACCCCCCAGCTGGACATCCCGCCAGGACGGGAGAACCCGCGGTGTCGGGCTGAGGTTAATGGGCAGAACCATATCAGGAACGTGTCGTGAGAATTTCTCAATCATCTTCACGACCTCATCTAAGTCCTGATTGTCGCCATCGTTGCCGGCGTCGCTTCTGCTCACGTGGCCGTTTTTAATGGTGATTGTGGCAATGCCTTCGTGACCACTCATGGCGTTTGCCCGCTTCCGCAGCTCCTCTGGCGAGAATTTCCAGAACGGAGCAAGATCCCTATCGATCTGGGCAAAGTCGTCGATTATGGACGAACCCGACGCGAATTGATACCACTCAGCAAAGTTGGGGGGTGCCAACTTGCCGGGATGGCGCTCTTCGTAGATGGTTACGGCCGCAGGGAGAGTCTTGCTCGTTGTCACTCCAACTAGCCAGCGTTCGTGCCTCGTCTGGGCATCGTATATCAGGTCATTTATGGGATGGCGTTTTTCAAACACCTCCAGCCGCTTGGTAAACGTGACGACCGTAGCTGCGATTATCAGCGCCATGAGAAGGACCGTCAAGACTATGCGCCTGATGAAAAGGACAGCTCGGACATCATGGGTGTAGGTAAAGAGGACAGTCCCAAATGCCACGAGCCAAAGCGGCACCAGACTGCTCGCCCGGGAGTTGTGCGCCCAATCGCCCAGGGCGAAGACATTCATCGTCGAGGTCCAGGCACCAAGGAGAAACGTCACGACGGCTGATGGTGTTATCGTGGACGTCTCGCAGACCCAAAATGACGCGGAGATGATGAGCGTGGCAAAGGCTGCACTGTCCACCAAGACGTCGAACCCATACAATGAGCCAAAGGCAACGTTGAACCGACGAGTGCCGCCCAAGACGGTGCCTGCAATCCAAAGAAGGGCAACTACCGCGGAAGAGAGGACAAGTATTTTCCCCAGCATGCGCAGTTTCAGCCTGATGGTCCGCGTCCAGGCCAGGATTCTCCAGAGCAGAGCGACAATGGTAGCATCAAGCACCAAGCCCACGAGCTGCAAAAGAACGGTCTGCGGCCTGCTATCGACGGGCTCGAAGCACACGTAAGTTGACCTCGTCTTCTGGGAAACTGCGAGGTACGTGCCGAGCGAGAAGACACAGGCGCCCAACACCATGAAGGTCATGGCGATGCGCGGCCCCGTGAACCAGTCGTGGAGGTCGTCGAAGCAGCTGCGCCAAGGATCGTCGGAGTCGTCCGAGTGTGGGATCCCCCACCGGCTCCTACTCGCAAAGATCTCATGCGCGATCAAAAGGAGGCAGAGATATGACTGACTTCCACGGTCAGAGACGGCTCACGGTGTGGTGCCGTGGGAGACGCTGACTCACCTCGATCCCCGCGCTGGCACATTGCTGTTCGTAGTTGACGCGATGAAACGTCTCCAGCCGCAGGACTATGCATAGAACCAGCATCGGCAGTGAGTATCGCCTGGGGCGGTTCGGACTGTGACTGGCCAAGCCCTTGGAAAACGCCTCGTCGGGCGCTAGGTTGAGGAGGGGCCCATCGTGAGGTTGACGATGCCCAGCGGCGAACCGTCCATCAGCGCCAGGTAGCCACTTGGAGGAGTAGCTTGCTAGGAGGCAAATGGCTCCCGACAGGAGCAATACGAGAAGCGTCGACAGGCGTGGTCTCTCTGTCTGCGGCATCAGCTAGGGGCCAGTGCAACACAACACAACACCAACATAACGCAACACGGGTTGGTCGCATGCGCACCGGTCAATGAGTGCCGCTCTAGCGAATGAGAGATGTAGCCAAATGACAAGACACAACTGCCGCCGTCAGTATGACAAGATTTCAGTCTGCATGAGGAGGGAAGTGGTGGATGGTACCTCAGGCCAAGGAGCTGCAGTGTCCCGTATCGAGCCATGGCAGGCTAAGCGCACACACGCAGCAGAAGGGCAGAGTTCTGATACTCTCATTTATGTCATGGAGTCTCGCAGGCGGCCCGACATTGCATCAAGATCAATCGTCGGTATGGCAAGGAATTTGTTTCGAGAACACGAATACCTTGCCGGGGTCGCTTCATGCTGCTCCATCAGGGGGGGCGCAGCGCTCCTACCAAGTGCTGTACAAATTGAGATCATTGTTACATAAGCCGCCAGATGGAGTGAGCACGCGACGCGCCCAGCCCTGGGTGTACGGCCCCGAACTTCCTTCTTCCCTCCCACAGCCTGTCGCGAATTCTTCCAACGAACCCAGCCCAGGCTTCCTCGCGTTTTGATGCCCCTGGCTCGCACCGCCGACAGTCGCGCCGTCGGACCAACCGCCGGACCAATGGACAACTGATCGTTTCCAGCATCTGCCTTGCTGTTGCCCAGCGCCATGGCAGGCTTCAACGATGCGCCGCTGATCCAGAACCTGGCCGTGCCCGCCGTCTGTCTGCTCATCGCCTTCCTGAGCTACTTCTCTCAGTACCTCTTCCATAATTCGACTCTCGAGCCCGGCCCCCCCTCGACGCACGAGTCCGTCGTTTTCAACACGCTTTTGCTATGCCTCTGGTACACCTACTTCAAGGCGGTCACGGTTGACCCTGGGCGTTACGACTTTACGGACAGAGTGATCGAGGCCGAGGGCAGCTGGTGCAAAAAATGCAATGCCCCCAAACCGCTGAGGGCACACCACTGCCGCCATTGTGGCCGGTGCATCCCCAAAATGGACCACCACTGCCCGTGGACCCGAAATTGTGTCTCTATGACGACCTTTCCACACTTCCTACGCTTTCTAGTGTTCGCAAACATATCTCTCTGGATGCTCGGGACGCTCCTGTGGCAGCGGTTTTACTCTCTTTGGGAAGCTCGCCACATGCCCGCCTATCTCGGACCAACTATTGAGGCCCTCGTTGGACTCGCCCTGACGTCGTTGATATGCTTCTTTACAACTCTCGCACTGGGGATCATGCTCATATCCACCCTCAAATCGTGGATCTTCAATTGCACAATGATTGAGGGTTGGGAACTTGACCGGCACGAAGCCGTCCTAGACCGAGCGGGCCGCGACTGGTGGGATATCACTGGGCCTGACGGCGAGACATTCCGGTTTGAAAAGGTGGAGTTTCCCTATGATATCGGCTTCTTCTCGAACATGGCCCAAGGCATGGGCACGCCCAACGTCCTACTTTGGTTCTTCCCGCTGGCGGGCAACCCCAGTGTCAGCAGGGACAACAAAGGCAGTGGCTGGACCTGGGAGGAGAACGGTTTCAATCGGATAGAAGGAATGTGGCCGCCTCCCGACCCGGAAAAGCTTCGACGAGCGGCAAGGCCATGGCCCGCCGCGCGAAGAAACTACGGAGCCGAGTTGCGAGACGCAAACTTGGGCCCCGAGGAGCGAAAAAAGGCGTTCAGAGAGCGACAGGAGCAGGACGAGAGACGGAAGAAGACGCTACTCGCGGAGCTAGAAGAGGTGGACGGGTTTGATATGATGAACGATGACGGGGACGACATCGACGACTTGTATGACCAGGACTCACATGACTCTGCTGAATGGGCAAACTCAGACGGTGAGCGACTTCGAGACTTTGGCGTGGATGAGGACGCAGAGGACGCCGACGCCGCCGATCCCGGCGCACCCAACGATGACGATGTGCCTCTGGGAGAGCTGCTGCGTCGGAGGAAAGTCCTCCACAAGGACGATCTATCCTGACTAGGATCCCGGGACTAACGCACTCCGCTGTGTCACAAGGCGTTCAGAGACCCCGATGTTATAGAGCATGTATAGAGTCACCAGACAAGACAATTGTAGTCCCAACAAGAGACTCTCCACAGGGCAATTTTTAACGTTCTAGATGCCGACTGAGACCTGCTTCTAAACATGGCCCACGCAAACCCGTCACCGCATCGATCATCTTCACCACCAGGGGCGATCCTATATGCGTTCCTCCCCATGTACAACTGTCTCCACGTATGGAGCATGCTGGTATACCACGAATCGGTCCACGCAGGAAACGAATCCCGTCCACAAAAAACGTACCCTACGCAAGAAAATCCGGGCTCCAAACATCTATCGTCGTTCCGCAAAGTCATGAGGCGTTGATTCGTGCCGCATCTACCAGTCATCGTCGTCCTTCTCCCTATTCTGCATGGCATTCTTGCGAGCCAACAGTGCATCCGCCAAGCTGCCACCTAGGCTGGGCGTGGGCGTGTTGCTGCGGCTGCCATCGGAACCGCTGGCCCCATTGAGGCTCATGCCTGAGTCTCGCTGGCCCAAGTCGGCGGGCTTGCGTCCGGCTGCCGGGCGCTTGGCAGGCGGAGCGGGAGGCTTCGCCTTGGCCGAAGGAGGGGCTGGAGGAGCCCGAGGCGCCGGTGCCGGGGCTGCCTGCTCCTCCACGTACGCCGCTGGCACCCAAGCTTGCCCCTGAGGGTTCTTGGCTAACCACCAACCTGATATCGAGTTAGCCCGAGTTCTTTGGAAGGGAATCATGGCACACAGGCCCAGCATACCGTTCGTCTCTTTCTGAACAATCTCAATGAGATCGCCTGCCTTGATAGACAACTCGTTCTCCCTCTGGCCAGCGAAGTCGTACAAGACCTTTGCCATAATCTTGGGCTTGGCTGGCGGAGCAGCTGGTGGTGGGGGCGGTGGCGCGCGGGCTGCGCTGCCTCCATTGCTTCCCTGGTTTCGGGTATGGCTGGGAAGAGGTTTGTGGGCTATCGCGTTGGCAACGGCCGCGGCCGGGGAGGGTGCCGGTACTGGCGTGGGAACCGGCGCCCTCGATGCGGCTTGCGGTGCGGCAGTCACGGCTGCAGGGGGCTGTGGCACGGCTCGGGCGCTACCTGCGCCTGGTCTCGGCTGCACAGTTCGGTTGCCAGTGAGCCGGGACGGCCGGCCACCAGGGCCGCCGGGCTTGATGAGTTTGCCCCGTGTAATAGGCCGGGGCGGCACAGGCTTAGCCCTTGGCGTTGGCCGCGACACTGAGTTGGGTGGCTCCCCCTGGTGCGTGTGGATGGCACCGCTCTTGTAGAAGTCCGCACGCTGTTGTGAGTCTTTCATGACCTTGACTTGCTGCATTTTGCCTGGCTTCTTCGCGTATTCAATCATGTCCGCGATCTTCAAATTGAACCCCCCGGGCATGTATCGCTGCATCTGAGTGAACATCTCGGTCTTGAAGATGCAGTTCATGAGCGGATCCGGCTCCTGGGCGGATCCAATGCCAAGGGAGAACCAATCGTCCTGGCACGTCGACGCTCCGATGTACTTGATGGCACCAAGAGGGACGGCCTTCTCCACAGAAATCTGAGGTTGGCCGTTGACAAGGATCTGAGCAATGATGTAGTACTTGCTGTTGGTCACAACGATGATCCGCGGGCTCGGTTTGCTGGACCGTCCAAACTTGGCTTCGAGAATCTCGCCGCGGCAGGAGAATACGGCCCTCTCGTTGGAACCAATGTTTGCAGCGTTGCGGATGTGAGCACCAGGCCCACTCGACGCGTTGATGCCCAGGTAGTCCCCAAGGAACCTGCGGGAGCCCAAGAGACTCATGCGACGCCGCTCCTTGCGGCCCTGCAGTACGCGATGGCCCTGGTCACGCAGCTGCAGAAACTCGGCGCCGGTTCTCTTCTTCCGCCACATCCGTTGGATGCGAGTCGCTGACTCGGCGCGGTATGCGAGGTACGCTCGCCACATCCTCTGGATACGGGTAGCCATATTGTGCCAGTACCGATCACGCATGTGCTCCAGAGCGAACAGCGTCTCCGGCGCCTTGATGAACGCCTTGGTGACACCAAGCTGCCACTCCTCCTTGGGGATGCTGGTATCCTTCAGAATCTGCTTCACCGCATCCTCATACGACCCCTGCCATGTGTACTCCCCTGCGTAGGACGTCGCAGGCGAGAGCAAGAAGAATCGGTCGACAAACTTGTCAAAAGCTTGACGATAGGCGAAGCCGGCGCGACGGATGCGAACGTTCTCCTGCAGACCCAGATACTTGATCTGATGAAGGACGTTGGGGCTATTGTACTCGGTGGGCGACTTGTTCTCGTTTGGTTTGATGGTTCGGATGTAAGACGGCTGACATTTCATGAGGGTGTCCACCAAGGCATTGGCAGAGGTGCGAATGCGGTCGCCGGCCGACGGGGGCTGTTTGCGGTTGTCCTGATCAACTTGATGGGGGAACAGGGTGTGGATGAATTGATTGCCGCTCTTGGAGAACAGATTCAGGAGGCCCTTGAGAAGCTGGTCCTTGTTCTTGTCGGTAATTCCGTCGACGGTGTAGGCCACATCGCCTGCGTAATGCTTGACAATGAAGTTGCCCTGACGTGGCGTCAAGTGAGCGTGGGACATGCCGTTGATGCTCTGCATAAAGGTACGATCGCAGGCGGCAGGGTCAGCGTGCGCCGTCTTGGTTGCGTCTTTCATGGCCGAGAAGATGCCTGGAGGCCGGACCTGCTCGATCAGGTCACAAACGACCTTGTTGTCAAAGTACTTGATGGGAGTCCACTGAATCTTTTCTCTGGCGTACTCTTCTTGCTCGGTCTTGAGAGTGAGTTGAATGAAAATCTGCTGGAGCTTCTCGTTGACGTAGTTGATGCAAAGCTGTTCGAAGCTATTCTTCTCGAAGATTTCGAAGCCGTAAATGTCCAAAATGCCAATTGAGTTGGAGGTCGCTTGTCTCGACTTGAGTGACTTGTTTATGCGCTCCACGATCCAGTCGAAGAGATTGCTATAGATGGCCTTGGCCAGGGCATCTCTGGTGGCGGTGGCCTGCGCCGGATTGCCTGGAGACTCGATTACCTCGCCGTTGCGTGGCGTCAGAATGCGAATAGTGATGGCGTTGACCACCTGTTCAGGAGTGGCTTCCAAGAGATACGCCACGAAGTCGACGACCGATTGATCTGCCACGGCGGCGTAGCCGCTCTGGTCCTCCTGGAACTGGATATTTCCAATCCACAGGACAGCGGCCAACATCCTGAATATCTCATCTTGCTCGGCCTGGCTCAGTCCAATAATGTTCATGGCGTTCAGCGTGTCTTGAAACTCTGCAAGGTCGTCGATGCCCTCCACGTCGAAGCACTTGGAGCGGCTCGTGTAGACATAGGTTTCGGGCTTCTGGATGCCAAAGAGCTCTTGATACTGTCGCGAAGCACCTTTGGTGAACTGATAAAAAATGTGGAAGTTTCGCTCGTTTGCGATCTGACCGACGACACGCGACTTCTCGAGAAGATAATTGGTGATGTCCGCACCGACAGGTTCGCCCGTCGAGTTGAAGTGGATCTGGAGATATTTGCCGAATCTCGATGAGTTGTTGTTGCGTAGCGTCTTTGCATTTCCAAATGATTCTAGCAAGGGGTTTGTGGCCAGCACCATCTCCTTGATCTTCTTGATATCGCCCGACTGTTCGCCCGAGACGCTGGCAATGTATTGCATGATGCGCTTAGCGGCCTCGGTCTTGCCGGCGCCTGACTCGCCCGAAATGATGACGCACTGGTTATCGCTGTAGGCCTTCATGTTGTAGTAGGCAGATTCCGCGATGGCGAAGACGTGCGGGGGCATCTCGAGGCGGTTCTTCCCCTTGTAACTCTCGAGGACGTGGTCGGTGTAGATGCCCAGGTCGCGGAAAGGGTTGACGGAGACCAAGACATGCCCGATATAGGTGTATATCTCGCCACCCTCGAAGCGCTTCTTCAGGTTTTCGTTGATAGCTTCGTTGGAGACCTTGCTCAGCAAGGTCAAGTCGGAGACGCCAATTTCCTTCTTCTTCGTGACTTCGAAGGTGGCTTTCTTGGGCCTTGCGCCGGCGCCTCCGCGTGCACTGGAGGCGCCAGTTTGCGCGCTCTGTGCGCCTTTGTTCTTGGGGCGCCTAGATATACCCTGGATATTGTAAGCGAATTTTGAACGACGGTGGGAGCACTCGAGGGACGTCGGTGATTGTCCTTACCATGGTGACGGGTCACCGGGACGGGGGGAGAGAGTGGAGATTGGAGGAGCAAGGCGGGAAGGGCGAGGACAGGAAAGAGGCAGCGCCAAAGGAGTAGGTTATTCAAGCATCAGCAAGGCTGAAGAAAGTGGTGAGGGAGAATGTTCGGCAGCCTGAGGGGGGGAAAGGCGATGGCGTTGTGGCTGGTGAGGGCGACGACGACGGCGGCGACGGCGATGAGCAGCGGCCGCATTGGACTGGAGGAGCCGGCCAGCCAGCCAGCCAGGAGAGACGCTGTGGTGCCTGATGTGATGACGAAGCCGACAATTTTCCGCTCCAAAAGCGGGTGCGACGCCTCAGCCATTCTGGCACACGAATCAGTGGCGGGGCATGACGCTAGCGCCACGCGTGCAGGTGGTAATTATAGCGGGATCAAGCAGGCGCAACGCCGCCACTGTTCCCGTCGCCAGTTGCGGCATGGAATCCTGGGACGTGCCCTGTGGCTGCCCCCGCGACGGCGCCAGCCCCCTCCGTGGATGACGGGCTGCTAGGTACGGGGAACGGGCCTGGAGTTAGAGTCTCGCCCGGACAGTGAGCAAGTTGATGCAGCGGCAGTGCCTCATCCGGTCGACGTCGTTGCCGTCCCGGCGGGAGTGCGCAAAACCTGAAAGTCGGCGATCCCGGCACGGAACGCCTGCGCTCACCAGACTGGGCGCCTGGCTCCGGGGTCAGTCACCGGGCGCTGCCCGTCAAGGACAGACGGACTGTGGGCCGTTATGCCGGCCCAGCGACTGAAACCTGGCTCCGGCCGGGGGCTTCTACAGTGGGTCGCCCTGCGCTCCACAGACTGGAGACTTGCCAAGGACGACAATGTGAAGTCGCTTCGGAGCCTTGGTGATGACATCCAGTCCCTTTCCCCTACCCAGCCAGCATGCCCGGTACGTACGCCGGTACCGTGCCTGCAAGCTGCCATCTTGCGCGGCAAGGCGAGGCGGTCTGCCGTTTGGGGTCGTTTGGTCATCGCAGACACCAGGAACCAGTCGGTTCGCGGAGGAGGACACGCACACCGCGGACGACATGTTGCAGCTGCTCCCTTCACTTGTCAGTACAGAGGCTCTCCGGCCGTTTCTGGGCGGCGCTGTAGCGTCGTTCGGTGTAGATCTTGACCGCGACACACTACTGGCATTGATGGGACATGGGATGAGGAAACGCCGGATACAGCGGCTTGGCTCGCGGGCGGGGCTAGACGGTGCTGGCGCCGAGGCGTGGTGGGAGGCGCTTCGGCTAATAAACGATCTGAGTCTCGCGCAGTACTGAACAGAGAGCCCGTGGCCAGCGGGTGCCGGGCTCTTGGCCGTCAGTGCGACAGAGATGTTTGCAGGGCACATTGGCCTGCGCCGAGGGCGGAGCGTGCATGCGCCCATGGACAGGATGACAGGTGCTGTGCTCAAGGCACGGGAGGGAAGGTGGCCTTGGTGGCCTGGTGGCCGCCGCTGCGACCCGTCTGGATCCCCTCCATCTCCTCCCCGCCCTCCCCAGTCCTCCACTGTGACTGGTGACAACCTGCGGCGCCTCAGCACCCCGCTCCAGCTCACCGTTGGAGGTGCGTCCGTTGGGCCCCCCCGGCGATCCGCCCCCCACAATGACGACTGGCGCAGGAGAGCTCTCCCATGTAGCACGACAGCAGGAAATGTAATGCAGAGTACCTTGGCTGCTCGCATGACATGACGGCGACGCAGACGCGCGCATCCAGACGCCGCAGAGCAGCTGCAGCGGCAGCAGCTCAAACAGACCTGCTGGCCACGGCTGCATCGAGCACAGTCCCGCCGCAGAGCTGAGGGCAATACATAATAAAGCTTCCTGCCTCCCACCTCGTGCAGCCCAGGCTTCCCCTCCCTCCTGTCCTCCTGCTCCTACCCATCGCACTTCATCGTACCGCTGCACATTGACGGCCGAGAGACTGGATCCCGCAGCCTCATCGCTACAGGAGCACAACGATCTGACCCTGCCCGCCCAAGTAGCTGCCTTGCGTGCATCAATACGGGTTCGGTACTTACGATACGCCACCGCCCGACCGACACCATGGCCGAACCCACCGACCAGCAGCAGGGCGGCAACCCCGCCCCCGTCGACGAGACGCCCATCTCGCCTGTCCGCCCCGACAACGCAAGGAAGAACTCGCTCGAGAACCATCTGATGCATCGGCCGAACCGTTCCGAGCTGGTAGAGAGTTAGTCTCCACGATGCACACCCGCACCCACGCCTGCGCGCTTGCACCCCTGTGGTACCCGTCCGCCTCACTTTGCCTCACCTATCTGCCGCGCTGAAGCAACCGCCCGTCCCACTCGATCCATCCTGTCTGCCATGTGTGGTCTGCTGACCCTAGGGGCGTCTTGCCCGCCTCAGAGAACATCCTCCCCGAATCCTCGGCCGCACCCGGGTTGCTTGCCCACCAGAGAGAGGTAAGTAATGGTGCTTGGCCTGGACTCTGCGCCGCGCCGTTGGTGCGCTGCTGCACGTCGAATGAGTACCCTTGCTCGGGAAAACGAAAGCAACATGAATTGCCCTAGCACGGATGAGCTGACTTGAGTGCCCGGCCGCAGCTCGAAAGGAGCATGCTCGAGGACAAGCTCAACGATAAGATCTCGCATCGCCCGGATCCCGAAGCCCTTGTCAAGGGTGGGGTGCTGCACGAGGATCCCCGTTCTGCAGAGCAGAAGTACGAGGAGGCGATTGAGGAGGAATACGCCAAGCGTGAAGGAGGCGCGTAATGAGGCGGTCGGGCGCCATTGGACGTGACGCCGTTGAGCATCCCGTCGACAAGACGAAGGCGGGAGGGCATGCGCGTCCTTGAATTTTGGGCCATCGCCCACGTCGGCGGACTTCTGTGCATTTCTGGACACGCCCGTTGTTTTGGCAGTCTGACACACGCACGCACGCGCGCGAATTGATGCATCGCAGACGCAACACCACACAAAACCTCCACGGTAGCTGACCTGGTGACGGCAACTTGGTGCACATGATGCCTTTGCAGTCGCAACCGATTCTCGTCGGACGGCTTGCCAGCTAATTGGCCTGTCAGTGCGATTAGCGTCGTTCGTGCGCGAGCCCAAGACCGCCCAGTCACGGCTCGCGCCTGGAACCGTTCGCAGCCGGTCCCTGCATTGTCAGGTATCGAGGCATCCTCGGGCAGCGACGTATCGGCACCCTCCAGTTCCTGCAGCAGGGACCCGCGCACCATGCAGCCACCGAGTGACTGGATCACTCCTCGTCCAAGTCGACGCGAGTACGAAGTCTGGTCGTCCAGCTTGAAGAGGCCGAAACGAGATGCTATTTGTTGGTCGAAACGCAGGCAGTAACTCGATATTTCTATCTGGCCCGTCTTCACCAAAACCTCGCAAGACAAGACAAAAGAACGCGCCCAATCCACTTGCACCGTTTCCCATACCCATGCCAAAGTAATACATTCGTGAGCGTCGCGAGGGAGCGGCACCTTGTAGAGTAGATGCCCGCATCACCCCGCCCCAAATGTAACAAGTCCGCCGTGAGACCCAGAAACAAAAGAAAACAAGTTGCCTTTTTCCGTTCTAGTAAAAGAGAACGCCGATGATGCTGCCAATCGAGAGGAGGGACGGATGAATGCCGCGTCGATAGTTGGCGGCATGCAGCTCATCTCGTGTAGTAGGCACCACCGTAGCCAGGGCTAGGAGAGTTGGCCACATAGCCAGTCTGGTTATGGTTCATAACGAGAGCGCCGTTGGATGACCCAACTACATTGGAGGTGTAGCCGTCTACAGGGCGTGTTAGACTCGCAGAATTGAGCGGCACGGGCAGAGGCAGCTTACTGGCAGAGTACACACGGCGAGTTCCTGACGACGTAGACTGGCGAGTGGAGGCGGCTGAAGAAGACGCAGCAGCGCTGGAGGAGTGGGAGGAGCTGCCAACAGAGTGGCCTCTCGACGAGGCCTGGTGGATGTGGACCTTGTAAGAGCCGCCCATTGTTGCGTTTGTTGGGGGTTTCGTCTGGTTGACGTAGTTTCCTCTTCGATGATCGATAGTGGGGGGGTGCGCGGTTGTGCGTTGTTGGACTTGGTCAGGTCTGGTTGCTGATCTATCTTTGAGAGAGAGAGGAGCGAAGTGAAAGAGGAAGACGAGAGGCCTTTAGTCTTTATACACGAGCACGAAAGAGCCAGCCAGGTCGGACTCGTTTGTAGCATTGAAGGACCCGTGAATCGTGTCGTAACAACTAGAACGAGGCGGAAGGACGAGTCTGGGAGACACTCCCCCCTTGTCCGCCAGAGAGACGGAAGGGGGGTGCGAAAGGAAAATGCAGGGCCCATCTAGGACGAGGGACGGCGGCGGCGACGACACAGGAGTGAGTCAACAAAGACAGAGACGTGCAAGCCTCACTGGTGGCCGGGCGTGAAAGTAACGACGGAGCAGGCCGTGTTGCTGGCGTCGGGGATTCGGTAAGGGGACAAGGGCTGTACACCAACCACTTGATCGGGCCATTGTGCTCGGTCTTGGTCGGTGACTCCAGCGTACGCGTACCTCTGGGTTGGCATACGTACTACGACTCAGCAGGTAGGAAGTCCTGGAAGACGGGAGGGAGCCGGGGGCGAGAGAAAGCGTCCAAGGCCAAACATGGAACCGCGACACACCGGGGGGGGGGGGGGCCGGGCTGGGCGAAAAGACAGGGCGCCCACAGGGAGCAGCAGAGACTGCCAGGTACCAAGACGGTGGGCAACGCCGTGGAAGGGCACTCGCCCCCGCGCGCGCAGCCGTCACCAGACTCGTCCCCGTCAGGCTTTCGCCTTGCCCCCAGCCCTGTGGCAGCTGTGCGCCTCGAGCCAATGGGCCTGCCCCCGGTGGTCGAGGCGGCGAGCGAGACCGAAAGCCACGGTCGTTGGGTACCTCCGGGTCCAGAGCAAGGCGCACGGATGCGCGTGGCCGTGAACGACATGGGAGGACGGAACGTCTTCTTTGGGAGCTTCTGCACAGCCCGTGCGCCTGTGGCTATGGCGCCGGCCGCGCGAAGGATGTCGCCTTTCCCAAGATTGACGGAGGCGGGCAGGCAGTTGACGAAAAGAGACGGTTGTCACTGGGGGCCAGTCCAGCCACGGAAGGGTGTGGCCCAGGCACCAGAAACAGCCCGACGCCGCCCTGTTCGCCGTTCAGCGCCTCCCGTCAGTAACCCGGGCTACCTGGGGCGGCCTGCCCGGAGGCGCGATACCCACGGGTACTCGTACCTTGCGGCGCTGCACCGAGATTGTGGGCGGCTGCCCAGTGACCGAGGAGACGCGCGCACGCGCTCAACAAGGCGAGGCGTGCGTTCAGACACCGAGCTTGTGTGCGTAGGTACCCCAGGTTGTGCAGTGCCGAGGGACAAGGAGGTGCCAAGGTGTTAACTTACTATGTACTGTACTCTGTCTGTCCCTTGTGCACCGTAGGTACTTGCTCTTCGCAGGCAGTGCCTGGCATCGATGAACGGCGATGATGAGCTCAGCCGCCAAGTCCTGTCAGGTTCCCGGTCCCTGGCAAGGCTCCTGCAAGTTCGGTACCTAAGGTACCCAAGGTATAGGTGTGTGCGTGCCCGTGAGCGAGTGAGCACCGGGCCCCCAACCAACCAAAGCTGCTGGTTGGGTATGGACTGGTGCAAAATGTAGGCGATACGGACACCAGGGAGTGGCACCAGGCATGATGATGCGGCGGAGCCACGCGAGCGCGCCGAAATCAGTTCACGACGACGCAGCAGCCAGCAGGAGGGAAAAAAGGAAAAAGAAATTCCACCCGACTCGAGCGCCAGGGCACCGGGGTATTCCAGTACGAGAGCGGTGAAACAGCGTGAATTCTAGGCACCCGCGGCGCTTGGCAGAGGCAGAGGGAAGAGCAACGGCATGGCTGGCCCGACCCTGGCATGACCATGGCAATTGGGCTGGATCAAGCGATGGCATTGGGGCATCCCATGGCCGTATCCCATTTGCTCACGGCCGTGGCATTGAGAAACGCAAGGAATCGCACAGAAGGGGCCGCGTCAGGTTCGCATTAGCTTTCAGTTAGCAGAGCAGTTGCCCGCCATACCGTACCGTCCCTGTAAAAGGATACCGAGCGGCCAGTTAGGTACCTCCCCAAGATGCAGTCCCAGCTCGGTCTGGCCTGGTGCCTGACCGAACCAGATACCTTAGGTACTAAGTTAACTTGCCGAGTACCTATGGTCGGCGAGGCGGTTCTGCACCCTTTGGTCTGCTTCTGCACCTTGAGAGCCTCAACCCCAGCGCACTCAATCACGGCGAGTGGGGTTCTCCACCGGAACTTCGGTCGCAGGTTACGGCCAGACCACGATGCAGGCAACCCATGACTTTCATGGTCACAGCAGAGGACTGCATGGGTAGTTGGTCATGTTCATCTCTGATCGCGTTCGGTTGTGTGCCCGGGCAGCCCCAGGGATCATTCAGGCTCTGACCCCTTCAATGCGCGGCGGAGTGAGGGCCATGGAAGGTACCTGCGGCGGCAACTCGCCTGTAACGCGGCAGCTCAACAGCTGAGCGCCCTGAAGCCTCGCTCCCCGGCGTTGCCAATACCTCCAGCTCTCGCCAAGCGATGGAACCCAACCCGCCACACACCTCAACCGCGAGAACAAACCAAGACCACAGCCCGGCCATCCATCCACCCTCTCCATCCAGCATGTCGATCAACAAGGCACAATCCAACCCGCCCCAGCCAGGCGAGTGCAGTAGTGCAGCGACTCGAACACTCCACAGCCCGCATGACGGCAGGCTGGGATGGGGTGTCGCGTCCTTGGAGAACGAACCCCAACAATGCCCATGAAGCACAGTCACACCCCTCCCGCAAAGCTCGATGCGCGCATGCTCTCCCGGGCGCATGGCGCGGGCCAAGCCAGAAGCGCTCTCAAACGCCTGTGCTGACGGGCGGCTATGCACAGCAGGCCCGTTCCAGAAAGTTGGTGTGCAGCCACAGGGAGCAGGTCTCGCTGATTCAGGCCATGATTTCCGATGCCATCCAATGCTGCCTCCGTGCCCGTAGCGCACAAAGCCATGACACCTAGTCAAGTGTACGCAGTACGCTCTCCACCACCGCATTGTGCTGCATACCGCGGCTGCTACCTATCCCCGACGGTATTCCGCCGGCAGGCCTTGCAACCCTTTTCCCTGCCGCCGATCCTCGTCCAAGGTAGTAAATTTAGCAGGGGTCGGGCGCCGGCCAGCAGCAACCGACAGGCGACAACCACACATCGGGGCGAGGCAAAGGGGCAGACCCATTCGACTTGTCGGGAGGTCGCCAACTCAGATCAACACTTGAGCATGACACGTGGGAGGGCTGCTTGGTCCACCTCAACTGGCAGCCGCTGTGCATGATGCCAGACCCTCAAAGGTTTGCAAGCAAGCAGGCCAGATATTACAGTTTAAGGCTGAGGCCGGGCGCCGTGCTGCCCGACGCACACCTGGAAAATGACGTCGTCGCGCTGCGTTTGGCAGCTAATAATTCTTTGGAAGTGCTGGAGGCGGCGAGCCTTGCATGCCGGCCTGGGTCATTCGCAACGGGCTTGTACAGTAATAGCCCGGCATAAACTTGAGGCCCCCCCCCCCCGCCCCAAGGCGGGGCAACTAGGCCCCCAGCACTCCGAGGCGAGCGCATCTGTGCCGCGCCTTGCTGTGCTTGCGCAGGACGGGAGCCGGGCACCCAGCAGAGCAGCAGACCCAGAGACGCTGTGTCATGTGCCTCAGTTTCGGTCTCGAATGCATCACGCTTTTGCTTCACTGGCGGTGCCCGAAATGCCGGCCTGAGCGGCTCCGCCACGTTCGCGAGGCGACCGTTCATGGGACGTCATGTTCCTGCTGAGCCACAGCGGACAGCGCTAGCAGGCCTGTTGGGGGCGGACAGAGGCGACGGACAGTGCTGTACACCTCAGAGTGAGGGTAACCCCAAGAAGCCAAAGCAGTTGTTGCCTCTTGTCTTTCGGGGGCACACGGCCACCCGCCCTACTCGCACGGAATGGAGGCTCCCCGTCGGCAAGGCAGCTCATCAGAGTGCGTCGGGAGCCTTGAGAGACACAAGGCCTGTCGGGCTTGCATGAAGGGCATCATGAGCTTGCGTCGGCGTGCCTTGCTTTGGGCCTGCGTTTCCCGCCGCCAGCATGAGGCCATGCAAAAGGTACGAAGTAGGTTGGCCTTCAAGATGGCGGACGCCGCCGGGACCCCTGCACTGCGCAATTCACGTATCTCATCTCCAATGGCATGTCCGTGGTCCCTGCAGCTCTGTGCTGCAGGTGTCAGTGATGCAATTCGATGCGACCGCGGCCTCGCTCACAGTGGCCTTCTAGAACGGGAGGGCGGCACAGCGAAACCGAGTAGGCGGTGGAACGTGAGCGTGACAGCCAGCGGAGCCCTCCACACTCGAGGTGCTGAGTCCCCCCGCGCACCGTCCTCATCAGGGGGCCGGGCCTCAAGGGCCACGATGCGAGGTGGGAACGGATGCCCCAGGAACAGCATGGATGCATCAGTGCATGGCCGTCGTCGCACAGGGGCAGTGGACTGCGGTGGGGGTACCGTCGGGCTGCTCCGTTCCTGTTGGCCGCCCAGCCTGCCTCTGTCCCACCTTAGCAGCTAGCTGAGGTACCTACCAAATCGAGCATCCCCGGCATTCGGCGTCCGGGCAAATGCGCAAGCTGGCAACATCTGCCAACTATCGTCACGTCCTGCTCGAGCCTCACACCGCACAACTGCCCGTACTCGCACAGCACTCCTCCACATCGGCATCTCGCACACCGGCGCACATTCCATCACTCCGCCACAAGCGCGACGACGCCTCACGAGTCACGTTGCATTGCTCTCAGGCGACCCTTGTGTTCCAGTCACGAAACAACCGCCGCTCGCCTCGGCTCGCCATCATGAAGGCCGCCGCCCTTCTCTCCCTCGTCGCCTCCGCCGCAGTCGGCCTCGCTGCCGCCGATGGCCTCAAGATTGACGTTACGTTGCCTGTCGACTGCGACCGCAAGACGAAAAACGGCGATAGAGTGTCCATGCACTACAAGGGCACTTTGGCGGAGTCGGGCAACAAGTTCGATGCCAGTATGTGACACTGTCCCAAGGCAAGCCCGACAGTGGCCGTCATGCAACTTGCCGCCTTTGAGACACGTACGGATCGGTGAAGCTGACAAGCACACTCTTCCCAGGCTATGATCGGAACCAGCCGCTCACCTTCAAGCTGGGTAGTGGGCAGGTCATCAAAGGGTTCGTCGCCCTGCTCGCACCTCCGCTTGCCGCCCTCGGGTGCTGACATACGCCGCCCAGATGGGACCAAGGTCTGCTCGACATGTGCATAGGCGAGAAGCGGTAAGTGTTAGCCTGTTGACCCGGCCCAGGCACACTTGTGCAATGTCGCCGAGTCGAAGCCATTGCTAACCGTCAATCTCTTGCAGCACTCTGACTATCCCGCCCGAGCTCGGCTACGGCCAGCGTGCAATGGGCCCTATCCCGGCCGGTTCAACCCTCGGTGCGAAATCCCCTCATACTCATCCTGCAGCCAAGCATCGGAGACTAAGCTGACGACGGTTGTTTGCAGTGTTTGAAACGGAACTCGTGGCCATTGACGGCGTCCCCAAGCCAAACAAGATCAAGACGAAGGCGGCCAGCCCAGAGGGTGTTGCTGAGAAGGTGGCCAGTGTGGCTGCCGACGCCGCCGACGCTGCCAAGACGTTCATTGCCGACACCGACGACGTCCAGGGCCATGAGGAGCTGTAGCAAGCCAAAGCCGGGCGATGCGAGCGAAGAGGAGGGGTTATCATGCCTGAATAGAAGCCGCGGCGCTCAGCAGGGCCCGTTGCCGTATCAAGCGAGCGCTCTCCCTCGTCGGCGAATCACGTCCGCCGCGACGTTCGAGCCTCAACAATGTAGCACCAATGTGGCTTCGTGGGAGCACTCTCTGTGCTGAACACCATGACGATTCGGCATGGTCGGCGCTACGATGACTAGTGTGCTGGGCAGCCTAAATGCCATTTGTCGGGGCCGTTGCTGAGACATTGACAATTGAACGAGGATTATTAGCCAATGATGTCAGGCAAATTGTAAACCGTTGGTGCCATACCAGTTTGCAGGCCTGGCCATCTCCGCGGGCACGTTCAAAGAGAGGCCCGAATGGCATCGGATAAGCGGCAGGCACCTGTCAGGCGCTAACGGGCGGTGGGCCGATTCGCCGGCGACCGTCTTGAGGATTGGGTTTGGAGGCGAGCCAGACCAACGGCGTCATCGACGTCATGGCCGCCGACACACTCGTCCGCGTGCGGACGTCGCGGAGCAAGCCAGCGGCCTTGGAGCGTTGCATACAAGCCCGCCTCCGCCGTCGCAGCTCCCGTCTCAACAACGTCCCCTGCCATCGTTTTGCAGACTCGCCATGGCACCCTCGTACAAGCCCTGGGTGGTCAAGGTCAAGGCCCATCCGGGCTCCACTGCCGAAGACATCGCCAACGAGCCCAATTGGGGCACGGGGCACCAGCATCGCGTCGGGTTTAGGAACAGAAACAACCGCGTGCCCGGTCTCACACACGACCCGGACGACTATCGCAACGAGATCGAACAGGCGCTGAGAGATCAGGAACAGCTCAGGGCTGACGTCAAGGCCGGCAAGCTCATTAACTTCCGCGATGTAATCCAGCATCAAGAGGTAAGCGTGGCTTAGCGGAGGGAATGAACGTGGACGTCTGGGATCAGGCGTGAGCTGACGCAGCATGCGCTTGGCGACTGCTTGCAGGACTTTCACCTGCGGCACCCCGAAAACAAATCGCTGGGTTGGAGGTACGTGCTTGACACCACCGAGGACTGGATCAAGAAAGAGGAGCCATGGCCAGCAAACTTGAAGCGGAAACAGCAGGAGGAAGAGGCCAAGGCCAAGGAGAGGCAAACAGAGGACGGCACCAGGCCTCAGGAGGAGCACGAGCTGAAGCGGCCCGCCGACCAGGCTAAACACCACGATGCCTACGCTACAGACAAGGACGCAGACAAGAAGGCGGATGCCCGTCTCTCCGAGAAGTATACGCCTCAGGAGCTCGCCCTGTTGCGTTCCCTTGAGCACGAGAAGAAGTACATCTACCATCTCAAGGAGAACGACGGCAAGCACAAATCTCCACAGAAGCACGAGCTGTACCAGGTTTCCATCGACGAACAGGACCAATTCAGTCCCGACAACTGGGTGCCGCGTTCTTCTGACCTCATTCGCCTCACAGGCAAGCATCCCCTCAACGCTGAGGCTCGTCTAAGCCACCTCTTTGATGCTGGCCTCATCACGCCCAATGAGCTCCACTACGTGCGCAACCACGGTGCCGTGCCGAGGCTCCTCTGGGAGTTCCACAAGCTCGACGTCGAGCACAAGGGCAATGTGATAAGGTCCTTCTCGATGGACGAGCTGAAGGAGTTGGACACCATCAACATCCCTGTGAGCCTCGCTTGCGACGGGAACAGACGCAAGGAGCTCAACATGGTCAAGAAGAGCAAGGGCTTCGGCTGGGGCGCTGGTGGCGTCAGCTGCGCGTACTGGAAGGGCCCGCTGGTGCGTGACGTGCTTCTCTCGGCTGGCGTCCCGGAAAGGCTTCCGCACCAGGACAGCAAGCGGTATTGGCTAAACTTCGAGGGTGCAGACGAGCCGAGCGACGGCAAGTACTCAACTTGCATCCCCTTTGAGTACGCCATGGACCCTCAGAACGACGTGTTGCTGGCCTACGAGATGAATGACCTCCCACTCCCCCCCGATCACGGCTACCCGGTGCGTGTCATCATCCCCGGTTACGTTGGCGGTCGCTGCGTCAAGTGGCTACGGAGGCTATGGATCAGCGACAAGGAGAACGATTCCCACTATCACATCTGGGACAACCGGGTGCTTCCCAGCTTTGTCACGGAGAAGGACGGGCCATTTGCCGAGGCTCTCTTCCGCCACCCCGATACCGCGTGTAACGAGCAGAACCTCAACTCCGTTATTGTGAAGCCCGCACACGGAGAGAAGATAGCATTGTCCGAGGCCAGAAAAGGACACAGCTACCGGATCGAGGGTCTTGCTTACGACGGAGGCGGCCACGAGGTACAGCGCGTCGAAGTCTCCCTTGACGGCGGCGACACCTGGCTGTATTGCATCCGCAAATTCCCCGACTACCCTATCCGCCATGGCAACAAATTCTGGACCTGGGTTCATTGGCACGTCGACGTCGAGATCTCGCATCTCTTGCGTGCAAAGAGCATCACCGTAAGATGCTTCAACGTCTTCAAGAACACGCAACCCAGAGACTACAACTGGAACATCATGGGCATGATGAATAATTGCTGGTACGTCGTGCAGCCGGAGATCGTTGAGCCAGACGATTCGGATACGCCGGCGATCCTCTTCAGACATCCCACTGAACCGGGAACCGGCAACGGCGGGTGGATGAAGCCCAGCATTGAGAACCGCATTGCGGACGCGAAGCAGGAAGCCGGGGCGCCGCAGAAGGAGTTCACTCGCGAGGAGATCGAAAAACATGACAAGCAGGATGATTGCTGGATTGTTGTAGATGGAAAGGTCTACGATGCTACGAGCGTTTTAGACTGGCATCCGGGCGGAGCCGCTGCCATTCTGGGTCACGCTGGCAAGGTGCATCAGGAGACGAGCGACGAATTTGCGAGCATCCATGATGAATTTGCGTACCAGAAGCTGAAAGGTATGTCGCGTGGCAGTGCGGTAGTGACGTTTCCCGGTAGCTCCCGCTGACACCGTTGCAGAATGCGTCCTGGGCGTTGTTACCCAGAAGGCCGCCAACTTCATCAAGGAAAATGCAGAAGCGGCAGCCAAGGAAAGCGCCGACTCGGCGTCTGGCTCAGAGCAGGTCACGCTCCAGAAACACCGATGGGTTCCCGTCAGGCTTATCAAGAGAACGCAAGTCTCTGAGGATACGAGAACATACACATTCGAGCTCCCGGCCAACAACGCACTCCTCGGCTTGGGCACTTGTCAGCATGTTCAGGTTGGGTTTCACCTTAAAGATCGAATGCTCGTGCGAAGCTACACACCCACTAGGCCAGTCCTTCCGGCGCCTTCGGACCCCAAGATCAATGAGCACGTAAGACTTAATGGCAACGACAGTGGCCACGACGAGGACCTCCACGCGGTCGAGGATGGCGATGGGACATTTGATTTGACAGTCAAGACGTATTTTCCCGACGACAACCAACCGGGCGGCGCCATGTCCAACCTCCTGGATTGCATGCCTATTGGGGAGGAGGTCGAGATCCGCGGGCCGACCGGGGAGATCGTGTACAACGGGAACGGCGACTTTGTGATTGAAGGCAAGAAACGCCACTTCAATCGCGTTTCCCTCGTCCTTGGCGGGTCCGGGTTGACCCCGGGGTACTCGCTCATCGCACGTATCCTGCTCAGCGGCAACGACAAGACCATGATCAGAGCCATTGACGCGAACAAGAGCCAGGCCGACATCCTCCTCCGAGACTCACTCAAGCGTTTCGAAGACGAATCAAATGGTCAATTAGTTGTGACCCACGTCCTTAGCCAGCCAGAGGATGACTGGAAGGGACTAAAGGGCTATGTCAATAAGGATATCATCACCGCCAACCTGTTCCCTCCAGCTGAGGACTCTGTCACGTTCTTGTGCGGGCCGCCGGCCATGATCCAAAAGGCTGCGCTACCGGCCCTCAAAGGTGAGTCTCCTGCGGTCGCCGCCTGGATGCCGCAGATGTGCTGACCCATTTGAAACTAGATTGGGGCTATGTGGAGGATGACAACATGTTTGGCTTCTGAGCGAAGACAGGTACGGCTTGGCCTCTGACCAAAAGACTTTGTCTGTAGCGGGGACTTTGATAGCGTTGATGTAGTTGTTTGTCAGACGCTCAAGCCACCCCGCGATCCTTGACATCCAACATTCGAGCCATTTCTGCAGCTAATAGACTCAACCAAAGAAAAGCTTTCTCTGCTTCGGATCGGTGGCTGATGATTTGCCTCTCTTCTTCTCAGCAAGCTTGGGCCGCTTTGCCTCGGGAGTGCTTGAGCGCGGTCGTTCCGATCCATCCTCTTGGACTGCGTCCCGAATTGTCTGACGGGAGAGACATAAGTCGATGTGTTCGTTGAATTGTCGCTCGTCTGTCGCCTGTGGCCGGGCACAGATCGGGCAATCCCACCAATTGTCTCGTGCTTCTTGCTCTGGCTTCTTCGGGTTGGGGACGATTTCTTTGCCGTGCCTAGCAAATGGTGTCGAAGTGCCGAAGTCCGCCGTGATATCTGACGACGTGGCAGGCAAGGTACCAGCCGCTTCGGCAGCACCAGCATCATCTTCAAGCTGCGACCACATATCCTGCTCCCCAAAAGCCTCCATGTCTTTCCTTTTCAATTCTGCTGGATCACTGAATCCGTCCAGCCCAGCCCTGCGCTGCTTGAAGCCAAAGAAGGCCATTGTATCGGGTTTTTTGGTGCTGACCAAGTGCGTGCAACGCAAGCCCATCAGCCGAAGCTTCATGCCAAGCATTTCCTGCTCTAGCTTCGCGAGCATGGGCAGCGAGAAATTGTAGAGGTCATCGGCAAGGTAAATCGCCCTCGGCGTGACGACCTGTCGAGTGAAAACCTCAAATGTATGCAGTTTCACCTTGAGACAAAGGGTGCGCCCTTTGCATTCGGCTCGCTTCATGTCCTCTTCAAGCTCTTCCGCTATGTGTCGCAGCTTTTCTCGAAGCTTGTGCGGGTCAGACATCTCACCAAAGGTGCCTTCCGTGCCGATGCTCTTCCGCTCGTAGTCTTCCGCAGGTTGGATCCTGGTGCGTCCGAGGCCAAGGTAGCAACTAAGGAGAAACTCAAAGGTCTTCTCCCCGAATAGCGGGTTCAGGTACTGTCTCTGCCCATAGAGGTCGCCGCACGTCTTGATGCCTACTTCTAGCAGCTCGCGCTCCAAGACTCTCCCTATGCCGTTGACCTTTCTCGTCGGCAAGTCGCGCATAAAGGCCATGATGGCGTTCCTGTCGTTGGGCAGGACGTACTGGCCGTTCGGCTTATTCATGTTGGAGCAGATTTTGGCGAGCTTCGTGTTGGCGGCAATTCCTGCGGAGACGGTGATCCTGGTCTTTTGGTGTACCTCCCGTCGCATCTGCTCCACTGCTTCCGCGGCACCGATGGCATGCTCAGTGCAATACTCCGTAATGTTGAGATAGGCCTCGTCGACGCTCGCACTCTCAAAGCGCGGATCGTACTCCGCCAAGATCTCCCTAATCTCGTGGGCTTTGGCCGTGTACTTTTGAAAGTTTGGCTTTATCAAGATGAGCTCGGGACAGAGCTTCTTGGCTACGAAGCCAGCCATGCCGGAGCGGCAGCCAAACTGCCGAGCGACATAATTGCAGGTCGTGAGGACTCCGCCGCCGACCGCAAACGGTAAATCCTTCAACTCTGGACGTTCAAGCTGCTCCACGGCAGCGTAGAATGCGTCACAGTCAATGTGAACGACGTGCTGAGTGAGATCCCGGGCAACCTCGAGTTCCGCGATCAGTCGGTCAGCATGACGCAGGTCGTGGGTAAGATCCCGTTTCTCCAATTCGCGTTTGCGCACGAGGATTTGCTCGATCTTCTTGGTGAGAACCTTGTCTCGCTCTTCTTCTCGACGAAAGAACTTGGACCCTTTGGACGCGTTGTAAATAACCTCGGAGACCTGGATGCGCCGGAACGTTGGTACCAAGGTTCTCCAGCCAGGGGCGCGGGAGACACATGACACGAACCTTGCTTTGGTCAACCTTGTCCTGGCCCGCCTTTGTCAGGGACGGACCCAAGAGATGATACTTGAGAGTCTTGAGGCTGCTCTCTCCTTCTTGTGCTGGAGGCGAGCGGTCCCCGTCATCCGGCGGGGCCATGTGCGCGGATGACGTGGTGAGCGCGGTTCGACAGGGCAAACTCGGAAGCGGCGGGAGAGCATCGTAGCCGTGCCGTGCGCGCCTGCAGTTCGCCGTAGCTGTAGCGTTGCTGGCGCCTCGAAATGCGAGCCGCACAGGATAGCCCTGCGATGCAGGCCTCAACGTCGCGGAAAGAGGAACGGTTGGTCGCTCTTTCGTCTCTGACTTGGCGTTTTCGCGTCGACCAGGCAGACGCGAAATCACGTGCGCTTGATGGAGGGAATGGTTTCAAGTGTCAACTCACCCACCCCCACCTCCATCCCGCCCCTGCCCGACATGTGCTTCGTTCTGCTCTGCCTCGCACTCACTCTCACGCTCCAAGCAGCAGCCAATCTCCAATCACCTTTCGCTGCGGGGCTCCGGACGGCGGCCGCACCCCACTCATGGGGTCGGCAACACTATCACCGCCCAAGTTGAGAGGTCCGTTAAGCGCCCGGAAGACCAACCCCAGCCAAGGGTCGTGCATGCGCGGGGTCCTGATATCCAGCCTCTGAAGGCCCAAAGACCTGTGCGCCGCCCTGTGTGACAATGACTACTTCGTGCTGTGCATACAAAAGTCGTGCCGCGGCGTCTTGCGGTGGCTCTTGTCAGGTCTTTCGCCCGCCCTAACAAGTCCCTCGCCGCCTGCCTCGGGATCACGTCGCATAGTAAGCGGCAAACAGTGGCCTCGCTAAATCGCGCGATTCTGAGACGTACGGACCGGGTGGCGACATGGCGGCCAGGCCTGGCGAGGAGAATGTGGCGACGCTGTACGTCCAACAGGCCCCCGTGACGACCGTGCCGTTGACTGACGAGCGCACAGCTTCGGAGACGTTCACTATTTCTATGCCTCTCCCGACGTGAAGCCTCACCACCATCGCTTCGACAAGGGCTCCTATGTGTACTTGTTTGAGAACGCGACCGAGAGGAGATGCCGCATTGAGGTCGCGAATAACCCCAGCACGGACGATCAAGACGCCTTTGACGGATGCAAGTGTTTCCAACCGGCACTCGGGCCAAATGAAAACTGCCAAGCACAAAGCTAACGATGGGCAGACCTGGATCAAACTCGAGTTCGCTACTCGTACAAACACCACTGCATGGTCTCGCTGGTGGTGGCAGATTCGGTTGATCAGAATGAATGGCATCTCCCGACCTACGACCCGCGCAATGAGAATAAGTATCACTACAAGCTTCATTCTCTCGACATATACTTCTGGACCCAGGCCGACGCGTTGCAGTTTGTCAATGGGGTGCGACGCGTTCTCCCCCCGTCTCAAGTGGATGTTCTGGACGAACCCGGCCCACCGCCACAGCCGGCCGCCGCGAGCTCCGTGGTCCAGAGACTCGAGAGAGTCGCCATCACGGATCCTCAGTATGGCGGGACAGACGCGGCTGCCACAGCTCCGGCGCATGTCATGGTTCAAGACTCGAGCCCTGGCGGCGGTTCGGCAAAAGCTGCAGCCGAGATCCCGGTGGCATCACTGCCGCCGCCACCACCACCTCCTGCTGCGAACTTTGCGCCCATGGCATACAATCCGGCCGCCCCGGCCGCGCCCGAGACGATACGGCATCGAGAGAAGACGCCGCCGCCGGATGAGGACCCTCTCAACCCGTTGGCGGTGGCTGTGGCGTACGATTATCAGAAGCAGCCATTCACGCCGGGCATCCCACCGCCGGCCCAGCACGTACAGGTTACCAGCCCGGGACTCCCGCCTCCGCATTTCGCCGGACCGCCATCGCACCCTGGAATGCAACGTGCGGCAACGATGCCCGTCCATCAAGGCATGGCGAGTCCGTACGGTTCCAGCTTTCCAGCATTGCCTGGCTTCGCCCCTCCACCGCCGCCCCCGCAGCCAGCATCACAGCCAACACCCCCCGCGTCGAATCCCAGCGGGCCGCTGCAGTCGCCAGAAGGTTTCACCAACTATACCTATAGCCAGCAGCACACTCCAGTGCGGCAGCTGAGCCAGGACTACTCGATCCATCAGCAGGTTTACCGCCCCAGCACGGAGACCGGAACGACGCAAGCTCAGTATCAGCCCAAGCAGGAGGGGAGGAGCAGGCTGGAGGAGAACGCGGGCAAGCTTGAAAGGGGCGTTACTGGGATGCTCAAGAAGTTCGAGAAGAAGTTTGGCTAGCTTCAAGATCGCGATGCATATACCCGCGGGCCATGGAATTTGGAATAGACTGCTGCCTGTGATCAAAAGAGCGAAACATGTCAAGATTTGTGGTGCAGGTCCTGCTCTGGGGAAAGACGAGACCGTGCAGGCCCTGAAGAGCTGGGGCCCAGCGGTTGGCTTGACGTAACGATTGTACTCGTACTGGGCTGTGAGCAGCTGACGTTGGCGGGAGTCTTGGGAGATGCCAATTCGTCGCCCTGTCGCAGGGATCCACCCACTCAACTCAGACCGATCGGCGTTGGCCCCTCTCATGAACTACAGTACGTGTGTGTCTGGTTCGGGGCCTCGTGTTTTCACTGATGGAGAGAATCGCGAGGCGGCAGGGCTTGCGGCTTGAGCGTGCCGTCACGGCCGCCAGCGTCAGTGCACAGTCGGTGGACAGTGCAGTGCGCAAATGCGGTGTACCTACTTCGCAGTATTCAACAACCTCAACCGCTCATCGGCAGAGCCGAGAGATGCCGGTTCCAGATCCCCGGTTTCCGATTCCAAATGGGCATGTATGCTGAGCAGCCGATAGGCTGTGCCAGGCACCACCGCGTCCTGGATGTGAGCTGCAGGCACCGACCTGGGGATTTGCCGCATTGGCAGATTCTAATGCATTTTTTCACCTTGGGTACTCTGGGTACCAATGGCTTCATCCTTTGCCGGTTCCAGGGCTGTGATGTCGAGGCTTGGTGTGGTGCCCTCTTGGTCTCTGACAGGCTGGCTGGTCAGCCCTTGCAGGCGGTGGGCAAGCTTCCGTCGACAGCGGTTTGCCAGGCTCGATCCACGGCCTGGTCAAGTGGTGGCTGGGTCAGCGGGTCCCGTCCTGCAACGGACTGGACCGTCTGTCCAAGCCACGGTGGCTGGGAGGGGGCAATGGGAACCACAGCCTGGTCCCCTCCAAGGCAAGGTACTATATAGGTAACTCAGGTCACCAGCTCGACCACTTTACTTTGGGGGGTCCCAGGATTGAGGGGAGCTGCAGCAGCTGCCCATCCTCGGTCGGCAAGAAGCAACACATTTCGTACAATATCGGGCTGTGCCGTGCTTGATGTCCAAGCCAAAGGTCAGGTATACCTGTAGCGGCCTGTACAACTTGTGCGCGGCGCGATTGTCCATAAATGGCTCCAGCTGCAGCAACAGCGCTACCTACAGTACCTAGACTTCAGGGGTGCCGCTGGCCGTTGGGCTGAACGGTAGCGCCGGTCCCACCGCCTTGGAACCTGGCGCGGGCGGGCTCGTGAAAGGTCGGCTGGCATGGATCCATTGGATCTGACAGACCCCCGCCAGCTGATGCTGCACGGCTGGCGAGGAACGGGGCCCCGACTGCCAACCTGGACCGCCCAGGTGCCTTGCCTCGATCCGTATCGCAGGCCGAACTCGTAATACTGCTCACACCTCCAGGGCCTGCTCTGCCTCACCCTGGCCTGCCCGTGGCGCGCAACCAACAAAAACGGCTCTCCCATCCCCCAGCTGCCCTTGACTCCAGCTTCCTCGTCACAATCCCGCCGTCGCCTGTTGGCCGCCTGCGAAACCTCTCGCCCGCTCCCTGTCAGCCCCGTAGGGCCTCTCAGGCTCCGTCTCCGACTGACCCGACACAACACCAATGCGCTGATTCAACCTCCGATCGTCGTCTGCCGGTTGGCGACCACACAGCCATCCATCTCGCTCGCGTGTCCGGCTCGGGGCCGCTTCATCTCAGCTCTGAGCTTGCGCCCAAATCCTCCGAGCAGCAGTGGTCCTCTTCGCCGGGGCAGCTACTTGACCCTCCCCCGGTTCGCTCCACCGCCTTATCCATGTTCTCGGGCCGTGTCTTTGCTGGACATTGGCTGCGAAAATGCTTGGTCCATACCCGCGCATCGCGCCCGCCATCTACGGCGACATCGAATATACACGGCGGCATTCTGTTAGGCTGGTGCGGAGGGATAGCGAGAATAGGAACCTTGTGTTGATTGTATGGGCCACCCCGCCATCGCCCATTGTTTCACCCGATGACTGACCCGTGTCCTGGCTCGCAGATTATCCTGGCCGTTATAGCTGGTCTGACACTGGCGATATGTCTACTCGTCTTGCTTGCCAAGAGGAGGCGCCGCCGTCAACGCCGCGGTAACAAAACGACGGACCAAAGCCCGGGCTTCTTCGACAGCATCTCCCGCTACTGGCGTTCCGATTCTGGCAGATACGAACAGACCTGGGGAGACGACACCAACACAGATGGCCAGGCCCAGTCACATCGACTTGATGTGGCTCCGTCACCGTCAAGCCGCGCTGCCCGTACTCACCAAAGCCGAGGCGCGGCAGGCGGTGGCACTGACGCCTCCACCGCCCAGTCTGCCACTGCTGGGGGAGCCGTCGACCGCAACACATCTGTACGCTCCGTCATGACGCTGCCTGCGTACCGCCAGACAGCTTCCACCAACGAACAAGTCCTCGGCCGTGAAGGGGACAGGGATGGCGTTGACGTCATCATCGACCTCCCAACCGCAGAAGAGGAGGAAGCTCTACGTGAGGAAGAAATGGCGACTATTTATCAGATACGGCAGACGAGGCGGCAGCAGATTGTCGAAAGGGAAGATTTAAGGCAACAGCGCCGCGAAGCAAGACGTCGAAACGACAGCGGGGCGCTGGCCGACCTGAGGGTGCGGTCGAGGGCAGCAAGCAACAACAGCCAGATAGACGAGCTGCGAAGAGAGGTGGGCAGAATCCAGGACACCAGGCAGCGGTCAGTGTCTAGCGTATCTTACGCAGATCTCGGGGTGGCTCGGCACGACGGAACGAGATTGCGCGCGAGCAGCAACGACAGCGAGCGCATGGGTCTTCTCTCGGACGCGGCCAGCATAGCCGTGTCCCAGCGATCGGGGGCTCCGTCTCCGTCGCTACATCGCCGCGAACAAAGCATAGGCTCGTTTGTGAGCGTGGAGAGTGACGTCCCTCCGTCGATCCGAGCCCAGTCAAGAGGGGGCTCCAGACCCGACACCCCACGGTTGTCGGGAGTCAGCGGGACCCTGGCTGGTTCCAGCCCGGAGCTGGTCGAGGCGGACCTAGGAGACGAGGAGATGCCGCCCCCGGAGTACGAAGATGTGGCCTTGGACGACACGGACAATCTGGGCCGATCCACGACGCCTCTTCACGGCCCGCCACCCGACTATCCTGGGCCGTATCGCTCCCCATCCGTCCGGAGCGAACATATGCCGGCTAATGCAGAGGCGGTGGCCCAGGAAGGCGAGGGCGAGGCACCTGCAGCTGGGCGAGGGGTGGGTGGCGTCCCACAGCTGCCGAGTCTCAGGATATCGAGGCTCCCCGAGATTGTCATTGAGCCATCAAGCGCGCACCCGCACGCAGGTGCGTCGCGATAATCCGGGTGATGGTGGTTGCGCCTCTTGCGATGCCTCGCATGCCGTCATCTCCTTCTCTGTGGCCGCGCCTGTCCCATACGCTTCGACAAGGGGACAGGGTCGCCTGGCGCGCTAGCCGCCAACGACATGATGCATGACGACGAGTAACCGATTTCTCTGTACACGGGGCGCATCTCTTTGTACGATTTAGACACTGATACTTAGCGCGCGCTACGGCGCAATGGACTTGTGATTTCGACGGACGAGCTCGCGTGAGTGACTGAGCCGTGTGTTAGTATGGTTCGCCACCAGCATGCGTATCACATGTCGTTCCCTTGTTAGCCATGGCTAGCAATATCAGGAACGGCCCTCGTGGACCGTGCGGATTCCGGTCTGGGTTCTTGTCGACGCAGAGACATGGCGGCAGTGAATCAAAACCCCGTCGCTCATGGCTCCTCCAAAAGGGACGGCGCAGGTGAAGTACGGTGAGGACGACAAACATGTTCTTGGGAGGGCCATGCTGGCCCCTTTTAGGAAGGTCGAAAGAGGGACACCAGAAGCAATGCTTCACACTAGCTACTGTAGCTGCATCGCCATGTCTGGCTCGATACAGCGCTCGGTCACCCGGCACATCGGGGGCCGGAGAAAGAGGGTTGGTATCGCTGCTCCGTGCAGGTGTGGGCGGTTGCATTGCATTCGTCGGCGGCGGTGTGGCCCAGGCAACAAACGGACGAGGCAGGTACCCGTCACCAGCAGGGCGGGACGCGGCAGTTCCTTTTTGGGGTGGAGGGAGAAGGCAGATGGAACGCGAGCGACACGATGGCACGGGGTGCGATGCAACAGATGCAACCAGCGGTCACGATTTTCAAGTGAGGTGAGGTGAAGCTGTCACTGTCCGAAGCACTCCTCTGCCCCCGGCTCAGAGCACACCGTGGCTGCAAGGTACCGTCCGAGGTTGGCCTTTTCGCAATGGAAGAGGAGGCAGCCGGCATTCGTGGGAGAAAATTACCCCGGCAACATGTCGCGCGCGGCATGCATCTTTGGCAGCGATTCGATTGACAATTCGTGGTGACGAGGGGCTTATCAAGCTTTAGCTAATCACGGGCGAAGCGGGGCTGTCGCCAGTACGTACCCGTGCTGTCATCCTCAGCTAAGACGAGCCTAAGCGGCAGAGCCCCTCCGCCGGAGCCGGCCACAGGGCTAGTAGGTAGGTCCCTTACCCACGCTACCTACTGGACCTTACCTCACCATCACTGGCAAGGTAGCTCCCGCTAAGACTGGCTTTGCAAAGCGTTGCCAAAGCGTTGCAAAGCTTGGGCAGAGCGGTTGCAAATCCCGATCGACCTTCCATGCTCCCCAGGTCGCCTCGCCCCCGCGGCAGAGACATACACCCGAGGGCTCCTGGCGCCGGATCGCAACGCCGGAGCGGTCCTCGCCGTCGCCTGCATCGCTCAGCATGACATGATGGTATGATGTTATCCTGCAACTACCTAAGCGACGCATGGAGGAGTCCGGACGCCATCTCCTCCCACCGTTGACCGGGGGCCCGACCGGCCGTGGCGGAGGGCGGGCGCGCGCATGTGGGGAGTTTTTCCTTCCATAACCTTGCCTTGCCAATGCCGAGACCACAAGGTTCAAGCCAGCGGATTGGGGCCATCCCAACACCATCCATCCGTCTGTCTTTCCATCCCTCCCTCCCCCCCTCCGACTTTCCGTGCCGGCCTGCCATGGCGTCATCCGAATCACACGCTGGCGCTCGTGGGCGAGACATTTGTCCCTGGCCCAGACGCCTCCCGCACTCCCCGCAGCCCCCAGCTCCGACCATGGCGGCGTATAAGTAGCCGGTGCTCCCAGCCCACCCGGCCGCGCTCTTGGACCATTGTCCGACTCCATAGATCAGTCAATTCAGACGTCTTGCCCCCTGGCCGGTTGTCCTGAAGCTCAATTCGGAAGTTCGAAGCAACACCCAATTCACAATGGCTCCCAAGATCGCCATCGTCTATGTAAGTCAGCCCCACGCCTCGACGGCGCCTGCCACTAACAGCCTCGCTCCCGCAGTACTCCATGTACGGCCACATTCGGCAGCTCGCCGAGGCCGAGAAGAAGGGCATCGAGAAGGCCGGCGGCACGGCCGACCTCTACCAGATCCCCGAGACGCTCTCGGACGACGTCCTCACCAAGATGCATGCCCCGGCCAAGCCTACCGACGTCCCCGTCCTGAGCGACCCCGCTACCCTGACTCAGTATGACGGCTTCTTGCTCGGAATTCCCACTCGTTACGGCAACTTCCCTGCCCAGTGGAAGGTATGTGCCACGCGAATGCTCCTGACTGCCGTCTCAATGTGCCATACGTGAGTGCTAACAGCAGCTTGCCAGGCTTTCTGGGATAAGACTGGTGGCATCTGGGCCTCTGGCGGCTTCTACGGCAAGTTCGCCGGTGTATTCATTTCGACTGCAGGCCACGGCGGCGGTCAGGAGTCTACCGCCATCGCCTCCATGTCCACCCTGACCCACCACGGCATCATCTACGTCCCCTTGGGTTACGCCAAGTCGTTCGGCCAGCTCACCAACCTCAACGAGGTGCACGGCGGCAGCCCCTGGGGCGCTGGCACCTTCGCTGCCGGCGATGGCTCGCGCCAGCCCACCCCTCTAGAGCTGGAGATCGCCAACATCCAGGGCGAGAACTTCTACCAGACTGTCGCCAGGGCCACCGGCTGACTACATGGCGGTGAATCAAGGGCTGGCAACGGTGGCGCGGCGACAAGCAAGCCAGCTGCCGCCACCGGCAACAACGGTGTCAAGAAGCAGCAGCAGCAGCAGCAGCAAGCACCGTCACAGCAACAGGAAAAGCCTATAAAAGAAGGGCCATGCGGGTTGCCCGGGAAGTGCATTGTTCTGTAAATCCCGTCTTGTCCATGCTGAATAGATGAGGGTGAATTGGATTTCTAGCGTTGAATTCTTTCGTACATATGCCCTATGTGCTCGTCCTTCCAATCATTCAGTCCATCACGCCTGACGGCCCCATCCGCCAAGGCTACTTCACTTCCTTTTTTCTCACTGCGAGACTTGGCTCTTCTGTAGAGTGCAAATTTCCGCCATGCAATCTACCGATAGTACGTCGCGACTCATCGTCAATGAATTACGTCCAGTCATGATATCGTCCACGACCCGAAAGAGTTGCTTGACTGTCGTATGCTTTGCTCTGCGAGTCGTCATTGGGTCACCTCCGTAACCCTCCCAGTAGCTTGTCTGGAGGTCTTCTATGACATAGATGCCGCCAGGCTTCACCGTCGGCCAAAGATGTGTGAGTGACGTGAGCTGTTGCTCCATAGTGTGACCCCCGTCGTCGACAATGACATCGAATTGGCCTCCCTGGGCGGTCTCCAAGGCGAACCGCTCCAGAAAGGCCACATCCGCCTGGTCCCCCGTGTAAACGTGAGCATTGGCCGTCTCACGTTCGTATTTGGCCGCGCATGCTGCATCCGATTCAATATAGTACAACTCGACGTTGGGCAGGTACTCGAGCCAAGTGTAGTACGATGCTCCCGGACCATAAGCCTTGCGAAACTCAGCAACGTCAGCTCACGCGGTGCAGATGAGGAGGCAGGTACCCATGAGCACGCACCATGTTGCAGCCGAGCCCAATCTCCAGCATCTTCAGCGGCGAATTCCTCATGGGTGCGAGGTACTTGTTGTACATGTATTGGTAGCTGTGGCCCGTGACCTTGTCGGTCCCATACTTCAACGCGACTTGCTCGAAAGACGGAGGCTCCTGGGCCTTGCCCGTCCAAGGTTGATTCCTGAGACCGCTGTGGGCAATCAGCAAAGTATCGCCTCTCTCCCCGAGTGTGACTGACGAAGGCGAGGAGAGCTTGCTGCGGAACATTTGCGCCGTGTTGCTGTCGAGTGTTTGGTGGACGAGTGCTATCACGAAGGCCATCGCAGCGAGCGCGGCCAATGGAAATAGAATCCTCCTTTGGTGCATGTTTTCGGCCCTCTGCCTGTCGAGATGCAGCAAGGTGTGGGATGCGGCTCGGTTTCATGAGTGGCTGGCGGATGCTTCGAAACCACATCTGATAGCAAGGCAGGTGGAAGGTGCAAGTGAGGCAGGACAAAGGGCCGTGATGTGGCAGGTACCTACCTTATGAACAGGTAGGGGCCGGCCGGTCCCCGACGGCTGGTCGTTCTTGCCTGCGAGAGAAAGCAGTGCCACAATGAGTGCTGCCTTACGCACCCGGTAGGTACTAACGTTAGATAAGGTCCTGTCAGGCACCTTGGGTAGGTGCCTTGGGAGTACCTGCCAAGGTAATGCCGCCATGGCGAGAGGCCCGGTGGCTGCCTGAGATGCTCCCGTCGCTTCGGATGCGCTTGACGCCTTTGCCGTGAGCCCGCCAAACCCTCGTGGCCACGGCCACGGCAGTCCCGTGCAGCGCCTCACAGCCTATGCGCCTGGCCGTCGCCTTTGCCGAACAAGTTTGTTTGCGATCCAAACAGGGGATTGGGCTGGAAAGAATTGTGCGTGTGAGGATCCGACTGCAGCTCTCCGTCATAGACGCGTAACTTCTTCGCCTCGTCGGAGGATCCGGCGACGCTCATCTCGCCCCTGTAGATTTCCACAACGTTGACGAGCGGATAGACTAGCAGGAGCATGGACAAAAGCTGCCCAAAACTCCAGACCTTTTCGCCCTGGTCGCTCAGCGTGACCGACGGCCGACCGAAAGCCTGGGACAGGAGGCCGATTCGGATGGCCGCCCCGACAGCGATGGCCGCCATGAGCAGCAGTCCGACAAGCTGCACCCCCTTGAAAAACCGCGGCGCACGGCTGTGCAGATACCACGTTGCCAGACCGAAGATGATGCAGTTTCCAGCAATGACAACAATGGTGCCCACATAAGAGAGGCTGGCGTTGGGCGCGGCTCCGTCGCCAGCGACCTGCCACACACACGCGATGGGCAGGGTGGAGCGCTCCATCCCCTTGGACACGGCTTGCAGCACGAAGGCGCCCGAGACGCTCGAGAGGGCCAGGTTGACGAACATGAGAAACTGCCGCAGCCATCGAATCACCCAGTCGCGACGGTAGTCGCGGACGAGCGCAAGCAGCGTGGCGTTGTGGGTTGCCATGGAAAGCAACGACAGCATCCATATCAAGAAGAAGTGGTAGGGCACCAACGAATTCATCTTGGCCAGCCCGACGCCTGTGGCGCGCGTCAGCCTCGTAACACAACGCAGTAATCAAGCGCCCCCTCGCAGCTGGCCGAGCCCCATGGGTGACTTACTCTGGATGCCGATGCCCTGCAGGATTTGGGAGTCGCTGTAGCCGCTGAGAAGTTTTCGCCGAATCGTCGACGGCTTGCCACGCATCTCGCCGACAATGACCGTGGCCGACAGGATGATGGCTAGGCCCGCGGTGGCCATGAAGGACAGGAGGATCTAAAGCGACGTTCAGCAACGCTACACTCCCGTGGTTTCGGCCGTTGCGCTGGTGACATACCCCTGTGCCTGCGATGCCCGCGTCGCTCGGGGTTGATTTGGGTGCATCCGTGCACCGAAGCGGATCTTCAAAAGTCATTGCGAAATTTTGGCGGCCCAGGTTGAAAAGAAATGAGAACTACGAGGGCGTATTCGCGACAATGGCGGCGACGATTTCAGGGACAGAATCTCACAACCGACCCGGCACGCGTCCACTTCACCAGGAGGCCCCGCCAGAGTGTTATTGCGATGACGCTATTCCTCCAGGGGTGCCATTCCTGCCCGTGAGACGAAACGTCAAATTTGTCTGGGTCAGTGAGGTGGCAACCAAGACTACTGGCTGCCAGCGACGGTCGCCCTCAACACCAAACAGGATGGGCGGCTAGCAGCCCGAGCAATCAACGTGCGGCCGTTGTCGTTGTCGTCGTCGTCGGTCTGGTCGTCGTGGGGCGCAAGGGACGCCCACCACATACACCCCAACCAGCCACAGCCATGCCTGGGACGCTGAGAGAAGTCGGCGGTCGGCGGTGCAGTGTCATTGGAGGCAAAAGGGGGAAAACCTGGTTCCTGACGCCAGTTGGCTGGCGCGAAAACGTCTTGCAAAGGGACGACAGGCAGCTTGGCTCTCTCTGCGAAATGCGCCGAGATAGCTCGTTGTGCAAAATTGCGAAGCCTATACCGGCCCACGGAGCGCCTACGTCCGAAGCACACAGGATTACAGATGATGTTCTGGTGCGAGAAGCGAACCCCAGGAGCCGCTCTGTTGGCCCCCCTTGCAAATGCTTGGGGCCAATTGTTCACGGCTCGTACAGGGCTGTGAGGCCCGGTCCACCGGGTCAGGTCACCACGCGGAGCGGGCCATGCAGGACACTCGAGACTCATCAGGGCTCATGGGCTCCAGCTCCAGACTCATCGACCATCGTTGGGCGCCGATCAACTCGCGCTCCCGAAGGCCGAGAACTCGGGCCCTAGCGCTGGCGGGCCGAGCGCTGACTTCGTACGGACGGGCCTCTGCGACAAGCGACTAATCGCTGCTCTACGTATGTACAAAGCCAGCGGGCGATCGGGAGAGGGCCTTGCAATTCCGAGATCCAGCACCTGCGAACACCCGTACCACGCAATAGAGGACGGACCTCGTTGTGCCATGCCGAGCATGAAGCGCCCGCAACGCGGGTGGCCTGTGCCTGGACAAACGTTGGCAATGGGACATGAGACTCCACGCCGCCGCCAAAGCGGTGACAATCCTGCAGGACAAGGCGGGCGATCAGGGCCAGCCCGGCCCATTTCGAATTCGAGTACCCGGTAACTACTGTACGCCACTCTACCCATGAACCGTTTCGCCCCCATGGCTACTACAATGTCGTAACCACCGAACGACTCCATACAGAGCGCGAGGGACACGCAGCGGCAAAGCAAAACATTCCAGCGCTTGTTGAAGCCTCACGTGTCCGCAGGGGACCGTCATACGCATGGGGTCCTTGATGCAGGCGAAATTGCCGTCTAGCAAAAAAGCAAAGAGCCTCCTCTCTAGCACTCGGCCGCCAAAGCGAAAACGTAAACGCCGGCAACAAGGCGTGGCTGCAGCAGCTCCGCCAGATTATGCACGCCGCCACGCTGGCATTGCAGCTGATGAATCTGCTGCGGGCTTTCGACCGGCTCTCCTGCCTGACCCGTTGATGTCGCGAGGCGGTCCCATCCGAACTGGGAAAACCGGTGAGGCGGATGCCCGCCGGGCCCTTTGGGCGGCAACTAATAAGGCGGTCGGACTGCTTGCAGCACGGCGGCGGCAGCAGCATCAGCAGCAGCGGCAGCAGCAGCGACAACGACGGTGGCCAGCGGGCCCGACCGACCTGAAAGGCACGGGCCATCAGCAGGCCAGGGTCAGGGGCTCAGGGACAGCGGTGGCGCTGATCGAAGCAATCCCGACATGGGATCGGGGAGATGCCCATGCGCAACGGTTGATTGATTGACGACCAGCTGCCGGGGAATAGACACGGGGCATCCGTTGGGTCGCATGCCGCTGCATGTACGCATGTACGTACAGTACAGATGGCGCCTGTCGACGAAATGAACGAGGCGCTGGCAGAAGCTGGGCCCCTGGACAATATACGGACTGCACATGGCGGTTTCATCCAACACCGTCCGGGCGGCTGCGGGACGTGCGGCCGGGACGGAGATGCTGGCATCCACTGCACCAGCATGGGCCCCATGCAGGACGCGTGCGACATACCGGCCTGTTGGTTCAGGCGACGTGATTGCTCGCTGCAGCATCTCATTCACGGTCGCCTCGTCGGCCGGGGAAGGCTTCCGGACTGCGGAGCTGCAGCTCCTCTGCGGGGACGGCATCTCGAAGAGGGGCGGCAGATGGGCCGCCAGCCTTGCCCGCCTCAGCGCTGGCGCCCCCCTTATGGCGGTTGACGCTTGCTGGAGCGGTCGTCCCGTGCAGATTGCAGACACATGACCTGTCAGCGTCTGGCCGCAGCTGATCCCTGACAGCACTCTCCGCTTTGGCTTACATCTTCGTACGGAATTCTTCGATGCCGGGGCAGGCTGCGCCCGCCTCTCGCCTCCCGCCCCCAGTCATGCTTCCGCTGGAGGCTGGCTAGTCGACTGAGTACGAGTACCTGGTGGACGGCCTCGACGTGTGCCATGTCATGGCCCAAAGACGCTTCCGCGGTAACCATGTTCGGTGTGCGAAGTATGCAGGTGCTATTAAAACGTACGTGTTAGGGAGCATGAAGCACCATCTGTGCCCGACGGCAGAATGGCCCAACACCCGACACCCCTACCCCTATCTCGCCCACCCCAGGATCCCAGAGCCACTGCCGGAGACAAATGCCGCCCCCGATTGCACGTTGCTCCGTTCTGGAAGCGCGGTACGTACAGTTACGGTACCGTGCGGTACTTGCTGTACATGCGTTGCCAAAATGCGGGCAGCTGCAAGATTCCATGGCCGCAGAAGCAGCAGGAGCAGGCGGACGGGAGTGGCTCGTTTCTCCATCATTCATTCGTGTGGCCCACCGCGAGGCTGTCTCAGCCGCCGATGAAACACAGCCAACGATACCCACGACGACCAGCCCGGCGGCTTGCTCCCCAACGTGCCCCTTTGTCCTACTTTTTCACGGACTTCATAATATACTGGACGCCGCCTACGAAGTACAGACTGGCGCTCTCGGCTTCGTCAGGCTGGTGAGTTGTGTGACAAGCAGCTGTCAAGTGCCCAAGCTCTGGGAGACTCATATATATTACTCTCCGTTTGAAGACCAAAAAGCTCAGTCTTGCCCTGCTCAGGCCACTTTCACACCCTCAATACGGCCAGGCTCAGAAGCAGTCGGGGTGTCGAACGGGCTTTGCAAAGGCCTTGGTTCTCGTCGACAGCCACTCTACCGGCCCCTTACGACCATGATTGTTCTCCCAAGACTTCCTGCGGCGCCACCCAGGAAACGAGGCCCCGACTTCTACAACAGACATGACTCGCCGGCAGCTTATAATGGCAGCCTCGTCAAGCAGACGCTCCTTCAACATCAGCCGCAGACACAGCAACATCTGCCCATATGTCGCCCTCTGCCAACGGTGCCCTCACGGATCGAGCGATTACCCAGCGAGCTCCAGCGAATGGTCTTTTCGCATCTCGACTACCAGGCCCTCATTCATCTTTCCACCCTGAATCGCTACTTTCACCGCACCATACAACCTCGAAAGATGGCCGATCCTGTCGATATGGCCCAGTTCGTGATGCGAGCCGCCAAGGACTTTCCTCAACATCGCCCGAGCGAGAAGGGCCACGACTATAGGCCGGGAAACTTTGAGTGCTACATCTGCTTTCGAGTGCGCTCGCCAGACCACTTTGACATGTTGCAGCCTCAAGCCGCCTTCGTCGATACAACAGGCCGCATAGTCCGCGGACGGGACCCCGATCCGCGTATCGACAGGCAGGTGATGCTTCGTCGATTCTGCATAGACTGCGGCGTCTGCGAGGGCATACATGCCCCGTTCGACTGTTTGACCACGAGGACGGGCAGAGATTTGTGGGTGTGCAACTGCCGGCAAGTCTGGTCCAAGCCAGGTTGCTTGCGCTGCCCTGACTGCCGAGGAGACTGTCCATTGCGGCCAAGACGGAAGTTGTTGATGTGACGATCCGGAGACCCCCCGTCTCCTCATTAAACATCTTTGGCGGCGCCTTCCGCGTCAAAATGCCATTGTTCCAGGCTACTGATGTCTAGGGCCCTGGGCCCGCAGAGTGTGGTTCGACCGCACGACGATGGACTCTGTCCATCTTCTTCGTTCTGGAACAAAGACAAAAGGTTCATTCTAGAGTCATTTAATACAAAAGCGGTAGGAGGCGGCCTTTCAACATTCGACGAAAGTGCGGCGCCTGAAAATCTGGGAGAACACAGTGACACGGAACGGGTAGGCTGGGCGTTCGGAGTTGGGCTTACATGGCCGGTCGGGAATCCAGGCAAGGCCATAGACCTTTCGTATCACTTTAATACATGCTTCAACTGCCATGTCCTCAAGACTTGCTACTGTGCCTCAAGACTTTCGCGAAGCCTCGAGCATATGCACTTCGCAGCGTGTCTGCACCGCCGCCCACGCGCTCGCTTTCATCCGAATCATGGTGGAACCAGATACTAAGGCGCGGCCACGCACATTGCATTCAATCTTCCTCCACCAGTGAGCCGTGTGCCGAGCAGGTCGCACTATCTTTCGCGGTAGATACGGCTCACTCTCAGCACAGGGTAGAGATCCACGCTCGCCCCTCAGGCTGTGTTGCCTGTTTGCCTCGGCGGTGCCTCCTTCGCCACTAAACGGGCCAAGAGTTCAGCGTCGAAGAAAGTCGCATCCAAAACGCTCTCGCACTTTCAACGCAAACATCACTTTGGCTTGACTGACTCGGCTAGCGCCAGTCTGAGTTTCGCGCATTGGCCCCCAAGCTTCGTCGGCTTTCACTTTCACGGGTGCCGGTGCAAAGAAGAGGCTGTGCACCTGCAGTCCAGCAATCAACATTGGCCAGTCTTCCTTTGCGCCTCGCCAAACTCGCCTCGGCCGTCCAAAATGCTGCCCCCCGAGGAGCGTGACGTCGCTCTCCTCGCTGCGGTCTGTGTGGCCGATGCACTCGACTCGTCCGACGACAAGGGGGGGGCCTCGACGCTCGTTGGTACGACTGCAAACATGGTATGACAGACAGACTGCGCCAACCAACGCACTTTCTGGCTGAGAGATCAATACGTACTCACTCTTCTCGTCTCCGTCGGCAGTGCTGCGCAAGTCGCCGCGCAGATCACTACCAGTCAGGCACTGCAACCATGGCAGCAGTCCGTTACGACACTCCGGAGAGCCGTGTGCCTAGCGACAACAAGCAACTTGTCCTGGAAGATTACGTGTCGGAATTGGTCGCGAGGGCTGTTCAAGCGGCATCCAAGGACCGCGGCATCGACCGGTATGCTACCCATCTCCTGTCCAGTATCTTCGCCCATGCGCGGTGGTGCTGACTGTTATAATCTGGCACGCCAGTCTCGGTGCAGATGACAATCATTCCGAGGTTGCCTCTTCGGCGGCGGTTACGCCGAATACCCACGGCATCTGTCTCCCGCCTATCATCATCAAGACGAAGCCTGAGCCGCATTTCAGAAATGACTTCTTCGAGATTGGCCCTTCCAAGATTGCGGGCTGGGGCGCCTTTGCTTCCCGAGAACTAAGGCATGGCCAGGTCATCCTCAGGGAGGCTGCTCTGTTCACTGCCGATTCCACCCGCTTGTTTAAGCAGTATGATCAGCTGCGGCCCGAGGAAAAACAAGTGGCGCTCAGCCTCCATGCCAACAGCCTCGCTAAACCAGGAACTCCTCGGATCCAAGCCATCTGGGCTACCAACTGGCACGTCCTTCTTTTTCTTGGACCGTGTGTCACAGGAGCTGTCGTACTGACCGGGCTGACAGCTTCACCGTTGGCGGTCGGCATGCTGGCCTGTTCCCCGTGGCTGCCCGGTTTAATCACGCCTGCTTCCCGGGACAAAACATCGATTTCAAATTCGATGATGAGTCTCGGTGCTTGATTTTGACGGTGCGTGCAAGTAAGATCGCGCTTGGTGATGAGCTGAGCATCAACTACGGAAGGGACCGAACGTTGGGTGAGCTGTACATGACCTACGGCTTCAGATGCAAGTGTGGAGGGTGTCCCGGGCTAAGCGATCAGGATGTTTTGAGACTTACATCTCAGTGGTAGACGGCGGCCTGGCCGACGACTCAACATCTGTCAGCCGGGGGGGCGGGATGTCAGGCGCTTGGGCAGTTTTCCAGAACACCGATGCAGTGAGGACCGACCACAACCTGGCGATATTTTCTAACTCTATTGAGTCTTGAAGCTACAGCACACCATCAGTCTAGTCTGCAGGATGATAACGAGACTTCGTCTGGAGAGAATCCCCCGCAATCGTCTCAGCAGGGCGAGCATCACATGAGCCCGGACCCAGGGCTATCAATTCCGACGCTCATCAGAGCTGGCCTGACCAATATCCTCGACAGAGTCAATGTGCTTGGCTGAGTGGCTCAGAAAAGTCCCAGCAGGGCAGTAAAATCGTCCTCCCAGCCCGTGCCTTGATTCCGCTGCGTCGGTTGAGGCTCGAACGTCCAATACCCTTGCCCGTTTCTCGTGAGCGCGACTTGGATGTTGCCCAGATCGTCGAGGCCTTTGGGTAAGTTCATTTTCTCGGGGCCTAGGGCGAGTATTCGAGAATCTACGTGGCTGAAAAGCATGGGTAGCGAATCTCGCTTCCACGCTATAACACCGTCCCGGGCGCTTGCGATGATGGTGCTGAGAAGGTAATACAGGCTAATGAGGAAGAAGACGCCGGGATATATCACCCAGTACCACTGCACGTGGACATAATCGGCGAGCTTGGAGGCACTTCCTTCGTAATCCATACCGTTCGGGTCTCTGACGATCCCGTGCTCGCGCACTTCGTTGGTCATTATCAGGGTGATCTTGTCGATCCAAGAGCTCAAGTCACTTGACGCTTGCCACATCGCTTCGATCCAATCCGATGAGTAACTGGCGAGCCCGGGACTGCGTTCGAAGTAGCCGCCTACCAATGAGTCCATAAAGCTCCGCAGAGCCCGGAGAGCCCTGGCCGATATACTGTACCTTGACCGCTCCGGCAGGTTCATCAGTGTCGGCATGTTGACGAAGACGTGCTCGTCTGAATGAGCACTCGTGGCCGCCTCAAACTGCGTTTCGTTCCAGACAGACACGAGAGCTTGGCTTGGGCGCCCGTCGAAAACAGTGACGTTGAAGGTCTGAAGGCAGAACCACAGAGTGCAATGGGCTCCCGTGGCACGAGCAACGTCGGCCCTCTTGTTGGCGATCATGATCTCAAAGTCGCAGATGAGCGCCTGTCTGCTTCCAGTCCTGTTTTGCAGATCGTACTGAAGAGGGTTCAGAACGAAAAAATCCGCGTCGGCACCGCCGGCGACCGAGATGTTCGTTCTGGGGGATATGCCGTATGTGCAGGATTTTGTTCCATGTCTGCAATGCTCCCTGACCTCGGCTGGGATACACTGGCCGCAAACCGCCAAAGTCGGAAAAACTGGCCAGGTGCAATTCGCGGTGTGACACTGGGGCTCGAGAGGCCGGGCCTGGGCCGCCAAGATGCCACTATAGACCGCCGACTTGGTGGACAAGGCCAGTGTGTAGTCTCATGGCAGGTTCAATGTCAGCACCTTGCCCCATGATTGCGGGAGGAATGACTTGCGACGGCGCATACCGTCTTGCATGCTTCCAGGGGTTGCACTGTCCTAGTAGTCGCTTCGGAAAGGGACGGGCGCTGGCCTGTTCATCTCATTCGTGTATACGATGGGTTCTTGGACGTAGACGAATAGCTGCTGGGAGAAGGTTTCGAAGCCATGAGTGACGATGATGATGAGGGCTCCGATACACGACAGGTGCCTGCCGTTGAGTCAGCCAAGTGAAGTCAAGGTGATCGGACGGTATCGGCTTACAGGCCGCGGAGCCGCCAGAGCAAACTCAGGCTTCCCAGTAAGCCACGAGAGGCTTCATCAAAAAGCTTGAAGTCCTCTAGCTTGGCGCGACGGCGTGATCGCGCCTGGTGGGACTTTGAGAACCAGATCCAAGCACCTTGGCAAAGGCAGGACTCGACAATGCTGCCCAGAGCTATCCTAACGAGTGTCGTGATGGCTATGACAACCATGTCGAGCTGCAGACCGGGGCCGATGTTGGGAGCCGGCTTCCCGTCGAAATGCCACAGAACCATTGAGAGGGTGACGATCCCGGCAATACAGGCAACGGCGCAGCGGTACTCGTCGGTCCACCACCTAAAGTCAGCAGCAAGAAGGCGTTTCCGTGGTAGCTTGGCGGGATTGCATGCGGCTTTTGGCTCTCCGCCGGCCTCTTCGACGGGCACTTGCATCTCGCTGCCGTCCATGGACAGTGGCTCCAGCCTGCAAGCCCCGACAGAAACACGAAGGGGGATCTAACTACCAGTCGGAGATGCCAGTCGTCGCGGGCTAGGGGAATATGCAGGTGTAGACATGACCGCTCGTTGGTCGCGGCGGAGCGATATATCGGCAGGGTCGGTTGGCCAAGAGACGGGACTGGCCGGGTTTGGGATCACCGGTACGTTGGTGGACGTGTAGGATATGTCGGCCAGAGGATGGAGGAACGGGCGGACGGCCAGCGCCGGGACGAGGCAGAGGGAGGGGGTTCCGTGGAGCTGACCGCGGAGGCGACTTGTATTGTTGCAACTACCTACCTAGTAGGTACCTGGTAGTATGGAATCGACGGGGAAGCTGCCTACCGAGCGGGAGTCAGGCACGAGCTCTTGCCTCGAGGATGGTCACTCCTGCCGCCCAATAATCCTCTCGGGATTCGGGGGGTCGATACTGTCAGAGAGCCATTTCACTTGATTCACTACCCTAGAGCCCTCCGCCTCCAAGCAGTGGTCCCCCGAGTGCCTCCGACCAGAAGGCATCATCAGTCATTTTGGGTAGACATTACTCCCTTATATCGGCCTTGTGGTTGTGGATGGGGAGGCGTGGCCGACGGAGGCCCTGCCCCGACGGCTTCGCACCGCGCGCCGCATTCGGGCTCCGAGGAGCGCGGGTGCCCCTCGTATCTACCCACCCCTCGCTACAGCCCGCGACTCGAGCCATCAGCAGCAGGCACGGACACAAGGTAGCCTCATCTCATTACATCTCATCTCCACGGCCACCCATGGCACACTCACCAACCGCATCCCCATCGAGAGTACAGAGAGCAACGACGTGCCGAACCTAACCTTCGCCTCACCGTCATCCGCACTCCCACGTCCCGACCTCTGTCTGTACGCACCACCTCAGAAATCAGGATTGACCAGCAACATGAAATCACGGTCTTGGCTTGGCTTTTCGCTAACCGTCGCTGCCCTCACCGGCGAGCTTGTGTCGGCTCACGGCCAGCAACCGGCGTTGCGGCATGATGACTTTGCCCAGGCCTTCACTGGCCCCCGCAGCGACCAGCAACAGTTCCGTTTCTGGCTGCGCGACGAGGACGACGATGACGGGAATGACAACGCGAGCATACCTTTTCGATTTGCCGGCTTCAACACGTTCGCCAAGGTACCATGGGCAGACTGCTTCTCGCTGGAGGGCGCCCGCGAACGATACGACATTGCCATTCTGGGCGCCCCGCACGACACGGTCCGCAATCCGCATCCCAGATGGCCATCCTGCAAGTTGCTGGCATTCGACTAACAAGAGCCTTACGCGCATTCGTGCCTGTAGACCGTTACCGCAAGGCCAGGTGCCCGTTACGGGCCCACCGGCATCCGCACCGCAAGCCAGCAAAAGGCGTACGGCTTCAGTGTCTTCACCGGTATGCACTCTCCCACCCTCCTCTGTCTTCCCTACCTGACCCGTCTCCTCACTACAGGGCGTAATCCCCTGCACGATTGGGCCAAGGTTGTTGACTGCGGCGATGCGCCGCTGCCGTGGCTGGACAATAGAGCCGCTATCAAGACGCTTGATCGCGCCCACAAGCTCGTATCCTCACGGACGGCCGCGAACACTGACCGCTCCTCCGTGCCGCGAATAGTGACTCTTGGCGGCGACCACACAACGACCCTCTCTGCCCTGCGATCCACCGCCCACAACTGGGGCAAGGTTTCCGTCGTGCACTTTGACAGCCACATAGGTCCGTTGGCACCGCCCCAAACCTCGTTGGAGGCTACTCATGGGCTGTCGCTGACCCGACTACCCAAGATACCTGGGATCCCGCAGTCTTGGGCGGCGGCATTTCCGACTACGCGTGAGGCCCCATCATCCCAAACCACGTGGACACGCAGCTTATCCTCGTTCTCAACAGTGGGCTGAACCATGGCACGTTTCTGCACATAGCTCATGAGGAGGTCAAATTCCCCAGCCCCGGCGGGGACCACCAGCCATCGCACTGGCGCTTTGGCTGACCACTACTCCAGAACTTAATCCTCAACACCTCGGTCCATGCTGGAATTCGTGCCCCAGTCAATAGGCGCACGGCCGATATGGAAAACGACCGGAGATGCGGGTTCCACACGATTACTGCTCGGGACCTCGACAAGCTCGGCATTCAAGCCGTTGTCGACAAGATCCGCCAGCGCGTCGGCGACACCAACGTCTACATTAGCGTGGACATTGACGTTTTGGATCCAGCATTTGCACCAGGTCAGTCGACCCTAGTACCCATCCTGTTGTAGTCGAAGTTCACTTTCTCAGAGCTGTCGTTCCGCAGCAACTGGAACACCAGAGCCCGGCGGCTGGTCCTCACGGGAGCTCCTGTCTATTCTTGAAGGTCTCGAGGGCCTGAATGTAATTGGCGGCGATGTCGTCGAAGTGGCACCGGTCTATGATACCGTCGGGGAGACCACTGCCTTGGTTGCCGCAGACATAGCGCACACCATTGTTGACTTGATGGTGGCCAACCCTGTGTTGACGCCCGAGGGCCGCAAAGGCTGAGACCCTTGTCGCGTCCCTTTAAAATGGCGGCATCCATTTTGGGTCACGAGTGATATCCTATTCCTGGCACCACAGGCCGCTGATGGGGACATGACTGGGCATTGCCCATACGAAGATCAATACTTCGCACATAGGATCGTACGCGTGTAGCGGCGCACAGGGCCATGACGGCGGTTGCCATTGTCATGCTACCGAAAATGTATTACAGCCGCGGAAAACGTCTTCGCCTTGACGAATGACTTCGATAAACCAAGCCAATTACTCCCTCAACACCACGCCATGCATCTATACCAATCAAGTCCGCGAAGCCGACTCTGCCGAAATCAGTCCCAATAACGAATGTCGCCATCCAACCCTGCGGTGGCCACTTTGCTAGTCTCCTGGGGGTGCCACTTGACACATGTCAGGGCCTGGTTGCCTGCCTTCAGTTTGTGGTACATCTTGCAGGTCTTCCAGTCCCAAAAGCAAACGAAGCCCGCCGAGTCTCCCGAAGCCAGAAACTGCCCGTCTGGACTGCAGTCAAGGTCAATTGCAAGGCCAGCGTTGTTGTGGCCGCGGTAGCTTTTCTTTCGATTCTGGCGGAACTTGTCGTTGGCGCCGTATACCAATATCTGGTTGTCTGAGCTTTGGTAGGCGACATACTTGCCGCTCGGGTGAGCCGCTGCGTTGGTCATCGGGTACATGTCGGGCTCGGCAATATACTTGATAGGAACGGGAATGTTGTAGTCCCATGCACGAAGCGATTTATCGTCGGAGGTCGTCATGAACCGTCGGTTCTCGTCGACGAAAGTGATGGTGTTGATGGCAGCGAGGTGGTGGTCGTACTCTTGGACCACTTCATTGGGGGTGCGCGTGTCAAATTGCACGATCTTCTTGTCCGACATGCCTGCCAGGAACTCGTTTGCATGTTCCGGGTCCGGGTTGAACTTGATGACATGGGGCGTCTTGCCTGTCGTGAATTTGCTGATGCATTTGCCAGTCTCCGTATCCCAGAGCTTCATCATTCTGTCGTACGAAGACGAAAGGAACTGAGTTCCCGAGGTGTTGAAGCAAATGTCCGAAAGCGCCTTTGAATGCCCGGAATATGTGCGTAGCAGCTCCCTTTGATGATAGACATCCCATATCTTGACTGTAGCATCGGCGCCCGACGACAAAAGCAGATGCCCAGATGCCGGGAAGAACCGCAAGGCTGTGACGGCTCCGGAGTGGCCCCTCCACGTATGGATCTGCTTCTTGGGTATGTAGTTGGTGACGCTGCCGACATCTTTGCGCAGATCGACATCGAGATCCTGGGGGACATGCATGTATGTTCTGCCCTGGTAGTCGTACTGTTCGGAGCCGTGGAATGTCGTCGTTTCTTCGCCTCGTTCCTCAACCTCTTTTCGGCGGGCGACCGCTGCTGCCGGGGCTTGGACTACCGTTCCGCTCTCCACAACGTCGTCGTCGTCGTCCTCCTCCTCCTCGACGACTTCGTATTCTTCATCGCTCGCCAACTCCTCGTCGCTGCCGACCACCTCGTACTTCTCAGTCGAGTACTTGGCCCACGGGCCGACATAGGCTCCGGGGCCTTCTGCTACTGTAGCATTTCCCTTCCGCTCTCGAGCAGCTCGTATGCGCGAGGCCTCAGCCCTCACCTGGGCGTTGGTCTGGTATTGTCGCTCCGGCCCGCCTCGCCTCTCGACCGCGCGATGCTTGGTTCGAAAAGTGTGTTCGCTCAGAAAAGTCTCTTCCGCGTGGCCCGTCAAGACATTCTTCCGCTTCTGGGTGCTTGTGTCCTCCTTGAACGGGTTGGCTGGACCGAGATTGGGTTTCGTCAGGTTGTCGGCAGAGTATGGCACGACGGCGTGCTCTTGTTCCGTTTGCTGCCGTACAATAAGCGCGTCCTGGGGGGCCATGTTGGGCGGATATTCCCCAAAGTCTGCCATTTCGAATGTTCGTGTCTCGTCGACACACTTTCGCTGAGACGACGTGCCTAGAACAGAAGCCGAAAAGAGCTGGAGGTGGAAGCTTGCTGGTGCGGCGGGTAGTCCGCTGATGGTCACGTGACCCAAGTGCAGCGCGAGAATTGTGCCGAGTTTCGGCCTTGCAGCATGCTGGGAAGACAGACCCTGAAAGGAGTGATTGAAAGTGCAGGAATAGCAATAAGCCACTAGAGTTCACGGGTGGAATCGAGTTCATTGATTTGTCGTTTAAAATTTATCATTACTCAAGAGTGCCGCTGGCGCAACAAGCTGTTGATGGGCTGTGTTGCAACAATTGTGCGCCATCCTCCGCCCGAATCCTCCCTGTAGCACCAGGCCATTGCTCTCCTTTCAATGATATGGCCCCAGATATGCTGCAGTCGCGAATCATGCCATTGCGCTGTGTCACTCGCGTAAAGCCCGCTCCCAAAAGGCCTTGCGAGATCCATGATATCACATCTACCGCCCCGACCGAGAGGAACATGCCCTCGGCTTCACTCGTTCTTCGACGTGGACCAGTATGCCGACGGCGTGCGTTCGGGTGTCTTGGGTTTTTACGCGGACTCCGCAGACAGACAGAACGCGTAGACGTCGCGTTTAAGACGACTCGTCTCGAATCAGGGCGACAATCATGCTGTAGAGGTAGAAAAAGAACATGACGAGATGAAAGCCGAGCTTGGCAAAGGACTCCTACCATGGTGCTTAGCCAAGAGCCTTCCCACATCCGCAAAAAGGGCCTCCGGGGGGAGGAGAGAGAGGGGGGGNAGCGTAGCACACCTTCTTGTGGACATTGAGCTTGCGGAAGATCTCGGTCGCGTCCAACAGATGCGTGTTCTCGACGATCCTGTCAAAGTGTGAGGGGATGAATATCACTCCAGCGGAGTCAATGCTATTGTGGCAAACGTACTTTTTGGCATTCCAGGCCAGTAGCGGCAGGTTGAGAACAAGAGCCAGCCAGTAGCCGTTAATGAGGAAAAGAAAGGTAAGGAACCCATGAACGGCGGCTTCGGGAATGATGTAGGCGTTGAGGCGGTTGCAGAGCTCGATCGGATTGATATAGTCACTGTCAGGCCCTGAATTAGCCGGGGCGCATGGTGGCGAGGGGGGTTCGACCGCGCGCAACGAGCATCGCTCTGGCCAGGCCGAGGCAGCGTTCACATGACCATGCCCAAGTTTGACCGGAGGCGGCAAGCATGCAGCAGACAGAGGGATGGGCGTACCATTCCAAATCGCTGTACATGATGGTGAAGAAGACCTGGAGGAACAGGTTGACCGCGTTGATCAACACGGCCAACAGGAAGAGCCATGCTTCGCCGGACATCATGATGTATTCGGGATACTCGGGCGAGTTCGAAGAACGGGTTCTGTTGCCGACGTCGAGACGATTCGGGGGAAGCGATTTGCGGAGACTTGGATGGGGGTGCTCAAGGGCAGCTCCGGATGCGGCTGGCGGTCGTCCGGCGGGCGGGGTCGGGTCAGTCGCGTCGGGGAAGGGGCGAGGCAGCTAGAAAGCAGTAGCGACGGCTATGTCGTGAGGGGCGATGGCAGGCTGAAGATGTATGGGCGCAGGCGGGCGACGTGGAGGGGCGCTGGTGTTTGGGAGGAGCGGCGGGAAGCAGAGAGAAGATGCGAGGCTGGGAACAGCCCTGCGATATTATTTGTGGTGTGGTGGTGCCGCTGGTGGTGCTGCCCGGTGGTGGAGGCCTGGCGACTGGGGGCGCAGGCGCTCGAGCGGCACTAGGAGGCGGCCTACTCTGGTTGCTGGTGGTGGTGTTGCTGCGACTGCTGATGCTATAAGTACCTTGGCCCTGTACATTCTGCTAGAGGTACTTCGTACCTTGGTAGGGTCGAGCCAGTGGCCACCGGCCCTTGACTTAGTACCTCAGGTTTGGGGGTAAAAATCCGCCGAGTGGTCGGCTGTGGCGATGGGGGTTCGTGAATCCACAGCCTGGGCAGGTCTGGATCCGCACCGCGGCGCCGAACCGCAATTACGACGCATCCATTCCCCTGCCCTGTTGCCTGCCTGGCAAGCCTGTGCTGCTGCCCGCCGGGCGGACAGGCCACTCCGGGCCCAACAGGCGGCGTAACCGCCTGTACGGGTGGTGGCTCGTGCTCCACCAGAGCTGCACCAGCGGACCACCGGCGGGCAGCCAACCTAACGCGAGTGCCTGACCATCCCGTCAGCGGGACCGACTGGCACTGCGGCGTGTCGGCTGGAGGCCTGGAGGACCGCCGCCCGAACTTTGGCTGGTCATTCCGAGTTGAAGGACTGCTCGAAACACGCGCGAAAGGCATCTCCACCATGTGCCCGCCAATAAAGTCACTTGCATGCCTGCCGGGGCTATCCTTGGCCATTTCCAACAGGTTCAGGCTTGGGCGCGGGTTGACGTGCACCGTGCAAGTACATACGAGGTGGTGACGGGAGGTAGCAACCAAGCCGCGTGGTAGATTCGCCACCTCGTGCTTGGAGAAGGCTGTGGAACTCCTGCTGCGGCGTGTTGCGGCTCTTCAAGGTTGTCGCGCCGCACCCGCCGGTACGATGTACACGTCCGTGGTCGCTGCTATCAGTCTCCCGTGCGCATGTGACACGACTAAAGTGGCATCACGAAGGGGGACTACGCTGCACTGGGATCATACAGTTCCCCCAGTCCGAGATATGCGTCGGACTCGGTAATCAAGGTCGTTGACTGTCTAGGCAAGTAGTAGATTTCTTCGCACCAACCCGTGCAGCAACGTGGCCGTACTCCGGGCAATAGGCTCCCGCGGCGTCAACGTCACGCACACATCAGCACATCAGCCAAGGGCCCGACGGGCTCGTGCTCAAGCTACCTGTCATCCAACTGCGCCTTGCCTCAATGCAGATGGCTTCGTCGCAGTCGCTCAGCACATGACCCATTTGGCTCTCCAAATCCCAGAACCTCCTCCCACCATCCCCGTTCTGGGTTTCGGCGGCATGCACCATTCTTCCATGGAGCTTGTCAATAGGGCAGGTGCCTGCTGATACATGTGTCTATGCTGGTACTGCAACGGCGCTGTCACCGTTGCGAGACGCAGAGATGGTGATGGGGCCGCCTGGGGAGTCCGGCTTTCGAGCCGTCAAGATCTCCACGCCGTCTTCCGTGACAAGAAGAGTGTGCTCTGCCCGTTCTGTCAGCTTGCCTAAGCTTGTCACGCTGCTTCGAGCATCCCCGACTTACCGAATTGCGCCGTCCGCTTGCCGTCGATGGTGGTGCTGGTCCAGTTGTCTGGCCAGGTGATGTCGCGATACTTGCCGAGGGCGATCATAGGCTCGATGGTAAATGTCATGCCTGGCTTGCACTCGCCGACAGCCTTATTTTTCGCATAGTGAGGCACGTTGGGTGCGCAGTGGAATAGCTTGTTGATGCCATGGCCGCAGTATGTACGGATAACACTGCAGTCCTTCTTCTTGGCGTGCTTCTCGATGATGTTGCCGAACTCGCGTATGAGGACGCCGGGCTTGACTGCCTTGATCGCCTCCTCGAGGCATTCTCGAGCTGCCTCCACCACACGAACGTTCTCTGGATCGGCCTTGGCCTTGTCGCCGATGTAATATGTCTCGTTGAGATCGGCGTGGTAGCCCTCGTGATAGATGGAGATGTCGATGTTGAGGATGTCACCGTCGAGCAACACGCGCTGGTCAGGGATGCCGTGGCAAATGACCTCGTTTACCGATGTACAACATGACTTGGGGAAGTGGTTGTAGTTCAAGGGCGAGGGATATGACTGAGGTATAAGGTCAGCGTACTCGGTCTGATTTGTGACGACGCGCACTGCGCGTTACTGTGTCCGGCGTTGCCGTCAAGTCGTAGAGTCTGACGAGAAGGCCGTGGAGTTCCCTCGATCTTCCCCTCCGACGCAACACCTTGCGAGAACCTCTGGAGCGGGTAGATGAATGTTGCACCCGGATGCGCCACTCACATTTCTCTCGATGCAAGCTCTGTGGACCACCTCATCGATGTAGTCGGTAGTGACGCCGGGCTTTGCCGCGGCGGCGGCAATGTCGAGGACTTCCCGAGCGAGTCGGCAGCTCTTCCGCATTGCCTCTTGCCCAGCCGCGTCGAGGATCTCGATCTTGTTGCGGGTGGCCAGGTTGCGGCTGTATCTGGGGTTGCCATCTTGCCACCAGACGGGGTGGGGGATCGTCTTGGGCAAGGTTCGATGCTCTGACAGAGGGTAAACGGGTCGCAGGGTCCCCGAGAAGGGGAAGCTCGGGAAGGGGTTATAGAGTCCAGTAGCTGGGTCTGGTAAGATTGCTTTCGGCGCGACGAAGTGGTGGAGGATATTACTCTGTGACTTATGCATGCTCTTGTGGTTGCTCTGTACCACCGGCGGGGTCAGTCATCTGCTACTCTCGCAGTCGTGCCCGGCACGGGACGGCAACGTACCCAATTCTTCTTGAAGCAGTCCTGCGAGCAGAAGAAGCTGTCCTTGACGCCGAGCTTCAGGCAGGTAGGGCATTGCAACGAGCCGGCCTCATTCTCACAGTCGGCGCCAAGGCACTTTTTTTTCGTGGGCGGCTCGGAAGTCATGGCTGATGAGGGGGCGCCACGGCTACGCTGCGATATTCTGAGGAGGGTATACGAGCAGTCTGCGTCTAAGGGGGTCCCAGTGTTGTGCGCGCAAAAGACGCAGCGGCAGAAGGTGAGGAACTGGAGATGCAAATTAAAGGCACTCGTGTCTCGGGGGCATGAGGTAGCAGGAATAAAGCTGGAGCATGACTTCTTTCCGTTGCCGAGTTGGGAAAGGCGGCGAGAAGCAGGGAAGAACTATGACTAAGCGGCCAAGTACCTTAACTTTGCTGAGGCGAAATACGTGCCTGGCACGTCGTGTGGAACCTCGCGTTGCGAGGTACGAGTACTTCGTCCTTTAGTCACAGTAAAACGTAGGGGCTCCCACGTGGAGCTTTACCTATCGACGGCACAGGCCGATAGGTACTTTAGAGTATTGAGACGGTCTGTCCAGAGGATCTTTTTAGCACCTGAAGGGTACCTGACGTAGCAGGCATGCAGGTCCGGAGCAAATGCTGCCGAGGCTGCATCTGGTGCGGCACGAACGGCGGCGTGCTTGTCTTACCTACAGGTAGGTAATAACGTGCATTTTACTTCCTAGGTACCAGGTATCATGCCGCTGCGAATTCCAACTTGCGTCCGTCGTCTCCAATCAATATTGCACACTGGAGGGAGAGGCCATGGCAGAAAAGAGGTGGTCATGACGGGAAACAAAGTTGTCAATGACCGGCCTGGTTTCGCCATCGGGGTAAGTCGGCGGGTGGTCACGTGTGGTTTATATTCCTTCAAGGTAAGCTTTCCCCGTAGGAAGGCGGCAATCTGGTTAGCCGACTGAAGGGGAACGGAAGAAATATGATAAAATTGGGCAGGGAAAGTCGCGCCGGCAAATTGTACACAGGAGCGATGGCAGCTCGGAAGATGGCTTGCAGTGGGATCCCGAGCCCGCCCGACGGTGCCCTGCCTCTACTACCTACCTAGTGTTCTCCGTGCTCGTCTGCATGGGTACTTGCTGTATCGCTCCAGGGGCTGGGAGCGCTCAAAGCGTCGCGGACCAACCAAAAAAAAAAAAAAAAAAAAAAGGTAAAAAAAGTCGCGTGCCTGTCAACTATGTACTTGTACGAGTAACTACTGATTACGAGTGAAAACCCCGAGTCAGAGTAGTCAGGATACCCGCAGACGGCATGACGGCAGCAGCCTTGTCTGGCCGTCTGCTCTCTCGCTGCCGTAACATGTGTGCCGCACTGCCGTACGACACCACCACGTACGTACCTTGCGGAAACGGCGCCCCCATCCGGATAGCCTTTGTCAAACTCTGGCCTTCGCATGCCAAGTAGCAAAACTCACGCCATGGCCTCCTTGCCCGGCCTCGCCACCCCGTGCTCTTGACCCTGCGAATTCGGACGCGGCAATCGTTTTGCCCCGGGAATCAGCCCGAGCCATCCGCCGGCACTGCAACAAATTGCATCGCATCACGTCGCGTCAAGCGCAAGGCGCCCGCCCGCCCACGAGGTCCGGTGTCGCTGTCGCCGCCGCCATCGCCGTCGCCGTCGCTGCGATATTTTAACCCGTTTCCTCCTTGGCCCTGCCACCAACCCTTGGCCTCTAGCCGCTTGCAATACGTAGCCGCAACAGCAGCAACCACAAACGCCCTGCCCGTGCTGCCATGCCTTCACCGCAGAAGACTGTGGTCGTCGGCGCCGGCCCTGTCGGCTCGTTGGCCGCCCTGTATGCCGCGCAGAGAGGCCACGAGGTCGAGGTGTACGAGCTGCGGCCCGGTACGTGCCCTCGTCCCCCACGCTCCCGCCCCGTCACTGCATCGCGGCAGAGCCTCAGTCTGCGCGACGTTGGCCCGCGCGGCGCGCGAGCGAGTACCGCTGCAGCTTACACGCGGCAAGCAGCATCGCCCGCTGTCGCGTGACGGGACCAACATGACGCACGCCGCCTCATCGCCACCAGCCAGCCAGCCGCTGACAAGTCCCAATGCCTCCAGATCTGCGCAACCCTGGCATCATACCGCTCAACTTCACAAAATCCATAAACCTGGCCGTCTCTGAGCGCGGCATCAACGCCATGAGGCTGGCCGGCCACCCAACCCTGCTTGAGACGGTCATGGACGGCACGATTCCCATGCGCGGCCGCATGGTTCACGGCAAGGGCCCCACGGGAGCCCTGTACGAGCATTCCCAAGACTACGACGTCAAGGGCCGCGTGCGTCCTATGTGCCCCCATCCTCGTTCCTGCCGCCTCTCTCACCCGTGTCTGGCTGCCAGCCGTGTACAACAAGCCACCGCTGACCCGTCTTCCGCAGGCCATCTACGCCATTGACCGGTCCGGTCTCAACGCACGCCTCCTCGACGTGCTCGACTCCATGCCCAATGTCAAGCTCTTCTTCAACCACAAACTCACCGGCGCTGATTTCCGCTCCTGCCGCGCCTGGTTCGAGGCCAAGGACACGGCCGCATCCCCCAACGGCCGCCCCAGGGAGATTGAGATCGGCTTTGACCTCATGATTGGTGCCGATGGTGCGCACTCGGCTGTGCGCTACCACTTGATGAAGTTCTCCCGCATGGACTACCAGCAGGAGTACATCGACACCCTGTGGTGCGAGTTCCACTTGAGGCCGCGGCGCACTGGTCCCAAAGATGGCCCCTGGGCCAAGTTTCAGATCTCACCGAACCATTTGCACATCTGGCCAGGCCAAGACTTCATGTTCATTGCCATTCCCAGCGAGGTGCGTATCTGCTCTGCCTTCCCCTCGCTCCCGGGAGGCCTGTGCTGATCGAGCCTGAACCTGCTCAGGACGGGTCATTTACCTGTACTCTCTTTCTCCCAAGCAAGCAGTTTGGTGAATTGGAAAGCAGCCCCTCCAGCCTGCCCGCCTTCTTCGACCGGCATTTCCCCGGCGTCACCGACTTGATCCCCGGCGAGAGCCTGATCTCGTCGTTCCAAGAGAACCCTCACCTCCCTCTCATCAGTCTCAAATGCAAGCCCTACCATCACGGGTCGTCGGGCGTCATCATTGGCGACGCGGCTCACGCCATGGTGCCCTTCTATGGCCAGGGGATGAACGCTGGCATGGAGGACGTGCGCATCCTCTTTTCCATCCTTGACAAGCACGCAGAGGTGTACGGGAACGATCCTGACGAGGGGCCGGCCACTCGTCTCGCGTCCATGTCCCCTCTCCAGCGGTCTCAGGCGTTGGCCGAATACTCGGCCGTGCGAGCGCCCGACGCCCACGCTATCAACAGCCTGGCCTTGCAAAATTACGTCGAGATGCGGTCGTCAGTCTTGTCGAAGCGCTATCGGCTACGCAAGTTCTTTGAGGAGTGTTTGAGCGTCTACCTCCCCAACTTTGGCTGGCAAACCAAGTACGCTCGAGTCAGCTTCAGCAACGAGGGCTACGCAGCCATCGTGGCGCAGAGCGAGCACCAAGGAAGAGTGTTGATGGAAGGTTTCATGGCGTTGCTGGCCAGTCCCGTCATCGTCACGGGCGTGTTTTACTTGCACAAGTATCGCAGGTCTATTCTCTCCGCCACACTCCACTTCTGCGGTTGGCATCGGAGTCCATGAAAAGGACCCGCAGGTGTACAATCATCGGCAATCTCTGCGACCCGACGCGCATAGTGCAACGCAGCCGTGCTTGGATCTGCCGAGTCTAGCAAGCCAAGGGGAATGGAGCTTGGGCTGGTCCGGCGTTGAATGGGTTAGTCGCCGGACGAGTATCCCGCGTAGTTGCCCCCAGTATCTTTAGGAGTAGAACGTAGCATAGGGCAACTACACAAATTAGACCGCTGGACCAAACACAGGCAAGCAAGCCGCTAGACAGGCTTTCTGTTCAGATTTTGCTCCTATGCAGGACGGGCGACTCCTCTGAGAGCGGTTCAGCAGCGCGAGGCACCGGAAGCCCGCGCGGTGGCGCACTGTAATATCGCAGGCGCACCAACCCAATGAGGTACCTAAGTAAGGTAACGTTAGTAGGCACCCAGCACCCTGGTCCACAGCCATGTATACTGGCTTAGTCATTCACTTCGACGCCCATTCAAATTTTGGGAGACTTCATCCCGCGAACTTGACGGTTATGTTGCCTAGAGCCTCTTGTCACGAAAACCACGAAAAACACGCGACATTGCCTCACAGCTTCGACCGGTGCCCGCGACCTACGACCACCTCTCTCCCGGCCGAGAAGTCCCCGCTACGGAACTTGGACCCTCCTCCTCACCCGGCTGCTTGGGCCGCGACGTCTAGGGGATATAGGAGCGCGACTGTTTCCTCGACACACGAAGGTGAGCCACCCTTTCGCGCATCCTGCGTGGTAGAGCATGAATCGGCCAATCGACACAGCGCTGATTGCCCTCCTTCGAAGTCTTCGTTTGACTTGCCCGAGCGATCCCTCGTGTACTATCGAGTCCAGGGGTTTTGGGGGCACACTTGGCCTTCTGCCTCGCCCGCCATGCCGTCCATCCTCAACATCGCACACATGTGCTCCCACCTGCAGAATGCGTCAAAAGCTCGCCTTGGCGTCACATCGATTCAAAACACGAAATACAACCTGCATCTCGCACTAGCCATGCATCGCTCAGGCTTCTTTTCTTCCGTCTACCGCGCCGGCCCGCACCCGCCCACCATGGAGCAAATGGTGTCCGACGCACCCGAGATCGTAACGAGCGCGAACGTTGCCAAGATGCGGCTGTGGTTGGGCCTCAAGTATTGGGACGGGAAGCCGGTTCTATCAAAAGCCCACGTTATCAGCAAGCCATCCCGTCTTATGACGGCCAACATCCAGGAACTTGCTCGGCTAACGAGGGGGTTCCCTGCAAAGCTTAAGGGTGGCGTCGTGCCGGGCCTGAACTTGGGCGAGTGCATGTTTGTGGCGACTTCGCGAGGCGTCCTTGAAGCCCGGGAAGCGCTGGCGAGGAAAGTTGGTGGACTGCTGATCTGTCGCGTATCATGAGCGGCTTCGGACTTGCTGGTTGGTCGTCATGATATGGTCGTGACCCTTTGTAGACTATATTTCAGGGGAACTCTGCAGCCCGTCTGCGACGGGACTTGGTCTGCGTTTGGACCGATTCTAGCCACAATGGCTAAATAATGTACACTATGTAAGGTAGCTTGATGCGGCTGTACCCGCCCAGACCGTGTTGTGTGAGTTTCAACGCCGTCAGTCTTCGAGCTGTACAGAGTGTCTTGCTTATCGCTTTCGCTATCTGACAATGCAATCTAATAAATATTCCAGGTATCATGTCTGTCCAGTACGTGTGCCAACTGGAGAGGGGTCCAGGCTGAAAATGCGTCACCAAAACCTCGCTCGGCAATCTCCTGAAAACCCAACATCCGTCTTCACCCCACCGCCACCCCCCACCCCCGGGTTCCCCTCCGCTGCATTTCTTTTGAATGTTGTCAGCACGGAGGCCGTTTAAACTACGCCTCAGCAACTACTCGAAGTTCTCCTTGTCAGCTGCAACGGCATTCGTGGAGGCTTCCCCGGCACTGTCGTCGGTGGGCTCTCTTTCAGTAGAGTTGCTTCCTGCTCCCCGGTCGAATTCCGCCACTACGCCCATGTCCACCTTTGCTGGAGCTGGCAACTTTTCCAACGATGTCGATGACATATCATCTTTCTCCAGTCCACGTGAAGTATCCGCTGTCCAGATTGCTATGGGCTCGGACGAGCTCACATCATCTGCACTGTCACCAATCGATGCATCGGCGACGAGCGGCTGGGTCAGATCCGGCGGAGGCTCAACTGTTGCGAATAGATCAAGTCCAGGTTCAGTCGTCCTGGGAGGCACAGCTTCAGCATCGACGTGCTCAAGATCTGTCGTCTCATGAGCGACATCGACACCAATAGCCTCTCGGAGTGTTCCCAATGCTTCACTTTCTTGCAAAACAGCGATGTCCGCTTCTGCCTTTTCAGGTTGGGTTACTGGCGAATCGATTTCTGCAGGCGCCGGATTTGACGCAGCCATCAGAGGATGAGACACTTCATTCGGAGACATGGCGGCGTTCTGGAGAGACCGGCCAGCGGTGGGCTGGGACGCGCCATCTGGTTTCACATCGGCTGCAGCCGTAGGAGACTGCATGGCCCCTTGGCTCACGGAGGGCGCTGTCAAATGTTCCTTTGCGACCAAGCGCTTTGACACTGTCGCCGAGTCTTGGTCGACGTGCCCATGGAGGGTGGTTTGGTCGATACCAATTCCGGTGGCAGATGGTCTCGGTCTGACCCTTCTTGGAGGTGACGAGGGGCTTTTCCGCGCCGTCTTGCACGAGGACGCTTGTGTCGGCCTGGTCATGCGCGCAAGGAATCCTTCGTCGACATGGCTCGGTCTCTTTGCAACGCTGGAGTCGGCTTGCGATGACCTTCCCGGTGGAGGCCCAACACTTGGCCTTGAACGACCAAATGCAGACATTGGCCGCTTGCCCGCATGGAGCGACGGCGTTGCCGACAGGTTCGCTCGTGCAGAGTGATGAACGGGACCTCCGGCATTCTGGGGGCTACTGGACTGACGGGACAGAGACTGTCTTGAGTTGCTACCACGTGAGGCAGACGACGCGGTTGGCGCTGTCAGGGAGGACGGAAGATTCACCGGCTTCGTGGGGGATTTAGGTTTGGGTTTGACGAAGCCGGTGCCGTCTTGGCCACTCAATTTCAGGGACTGAGTTCTACCAGCCGCGGTGGAAGATAGTTGTTGCGATCGCGATGTGACGGCCGTGCTCCTTGTCGATGCAGGGGGGCCAGGCTCATGCCCTGACGGTTCGGCGGCTCTCGCAGCAAGCCTGGGAGCAAGTTTGCCGCTGGCTGCTGTAGGCACTGGCGTAGACTTTGGTGTTTTTGCTGGCGGCTTGGCGTTCTTGTTTAGTGAGCCAGAACTCTCCTTGTGGGACACCTTCGCGGCCTTCTGCGGAATATTTGATGGGGTATTGAAAGACTTTGGTGCTTTGAGCTTTGAGTCTGGGGGGGCATCCTTGGTCGTGATCTGCATGATGTGACTGTTCGCAGAGTCTGGCTTCGCGGGAGGACGAGCCGAGGGAGACGAGGCGGCATAGCTGTCACCGTCGAGGCGTTTGGTGGGGTTGGCAGCAGGGGCGCCCTCAGGGTCTCGAGACGGCTCAGAAGGGTCAATCGGAGTCTTCGGAGACTCTGGTATGGGCACAGTGTCCATGACTTTGCGCGCAGGCTTGGTCAGGTGGTCGGTTGACGCCACCAGGGGCTTCTCGGGTATGGTGGAGGTTGACTCGACGTCAGTATCGATACTCGTGCGGCGTCTCGATAGGCTTGACTCTCCGCTAGGATCTCGTCGGAGCCCTATGCGGCCGTCCTTCTCAATAGCAACGAAGCTGGTTCGAACTTTGGAGAGCGGTCTTGGGGAGCCAGCACCGTTGGGGCCTAGGTAGGACGCTCTTTTGTCAGCGGCGGCGCGGGCTTGTGAGTAGGTTCAAGAATGTAGCACTGGACGATTCGGACTGACTAGAAGCAATGCTTCAGGTTCGGTATGTGATAGCCAAGGCGCTTGTGTCGCGGTCATTGAGTACCAGGTAGGCAGGCAAAGGGCGAGAGGGCAATGGAAGGCAAAGGCTTGGGGGGGTGTGCAAGTGGAGGGAGGTGATAGGTGTGTAAGCCACGGCCGACTGAATGCGGGTGCCACCGGGCCTGCCACTCGCCAGTCTTGCTACTGCCACAGTAACAGGCAGGAGAGGGGGTACAATGCGAGACAGTAAGGTAGGTATGCATCAGAACGAGTTGGTAGAACATACGCACCTGCGGGGTTGGACTGGGCGATTGAGACACCAGCAGGCGATCTCCCTCTGTCCGGACTCGTGTCCCCTTTATTCTCGAACATGGCGCGCAGGTTCTTTACCTGGCTCATGTTGACGGCGCCTTGGCGGCAGAAGCCGGGCGGATTCGTACTCGTAGCGGACCGAGTAGATAGGAAGGGAGGGCCGGGCCAAGCGAGGTCCGCACGGATGAGGGCGGCAAGAGCGCGGACGCGACGGCGGGCTCCACGGCGCACAGAGCCGGAGTCAGTGCTTGTACGTACGTGGTGAGTCCGGCAATCGGTAGGCACGGTAGGTAGGAATAAGGTAGGTGTATGCGGCGTATAAGGGTGGTCGACTGAATGCTTGAGGTCGGGTTGGCACGGTACGGCAGGCGGCGGCAACCTGGTACACGGCGGAGGAGCAGCACCAACAGCGCAAGTGGCTCGGACCACCACCGAGGGAGGCGTCGAGATGAGGACGGCGACGATGACGGCGATGTTGACAGTAACGACGGCGAAGGCGGGCGACGTGGGCGACGACTCCCGAGGGAGGCGAAGGCAGGCTGGCAGGCAAGGGGGAAAGTGGCAGCGGAAGATGAGAGATGGACAGGAAGGGAGACGTGGTCATTCACGCCCGGTGCCTGAGGGCAGGCTGATGGAGTTACAGTAGCCACCCCTGTCGGGACGGGGAGTCGAGAGCTGGGACGTCGACGACCTCCAGCGCTCCTGCCCTGGTTCCCCGACAAAGCCCTGAAGCGCGTCAGGGCACAGGTGCGGGTACGCAGGTACAGCGCGGGACCCGGTGCGGTGCCGTTCCAGGTTGGTCCGATCTCCTCAAGGCACGCACGATGAAGCACTGGTATCTAGTAGTGCCATGTACCTTGGCCTGTATGGACTTTGTCCTACGAACGAAGTACCTGCCACCTTTGTTTCCGCATTGCGGCGGGCCTGCCAAGGTGTCCGAGTACTACACGCACACGTACGGGGTACAACTACGTTTTACCTCTCATTGCCCGGGGGCGTGGGAATGAAATCCAAGTTCGGCAAGACATGTAATACTTTATCCCACGCCGCGGCGCGGGAGCTCAGACGCGCCACGACGCGGGTAGGTTAGCAGGGAACGCTGTTGGCTGGGCTGCCCCCTGGCCCCAGCTCCTGAAAAAAAGGGGTAGCTTTGCCCCACCATGCGGTCAGGGTTCCAGCGCCAGGTCCTCTACATACGTACCATAACAGCAATTCACTGGACTTGTGACCTAGCAGAGACACATTGTACAGGTGCCTGCTATAGCTCCTATACTTTATACTTGGTGCCTTTTATAAGGTTAGGTAGTTAGCTAAGTATTAAGGTATTAAACTAACCTTACTTTTAAATGTATTACTACTAGGATAAGAAACAGACACTAGTTTATTTATAAATAGGGACTTAATATATATCTATAGTAATAGTATAAGGTATGAGTGCTATTCTAAGTACTTAGGTAGATCTTTAATGCGGCTCGTTCAGGAAATTGTCGTGACGCTCAGCACGGTAATATGAAGTCGAGGTACCTAGGTAGATAGGGTAAAGTATCTTAGGTTATATGCTTACTCTAGGTACCTTGGGCCAGGTGCTGGAGGTGGCGGAAAAGCCTCCCAAAGTAAGCCCTGCCAAGCCTTGAACGAAATCCCAACTGCACCGCTTCTAACATCGGCACTAACAGCTTCCACGCCTCGCACGCATGATACAAGGCATGATAACTCGCTCTGAAGTTCTGGTGCTTCAACGTTAAACGCGCGCTCTCACGCAAATGGCCCAAGTGGCCTGTCCGACACGCGGACGCAGGACGTGCAAGCTGCTGACTCCGTACACGTACAATCACGGCTCAAGAAACCCAGTCCACCCCCACCAGCAGCAGTCTCACGGGAAACGATGTCAACCGAAGCGTCCTGGTGCGGGCAGTGTCTTTGTGCTTGAGACTTGAACCACAGCCAAGTCGACAGGGTACTTGCCCTGCGTCGGTGTTGACCTTTTTTGAAATCCTTGACCACCCGTTCCTTGCGTCTCAGCGTCTATATCGGCGTTCATCCGCCACGTTCAAATCTCAACCAGTCCTGCCCACGAGGGCCGTTCACGACTTTTTGCGCCGCTCGTCTCCAATATAGTACAGTTGTGTGTATATCTACGCCGTCATCGCTTCGCATCGTACAAAGTGGAGAGTAGTCGTTGCCAATGGGCTGTGAGGAGGCTTCGCTGACGCGGTCCATTACTTGGTCCTCTTAGCCTCCAGCTCCGCTTGGTACTTGGCAACTAGCTCTTTCCTGGAAGTCATGTTAGCGCATCCTGGCGTTCCCGCTAGGATCGATGAGCTTACTGTAGGTGAGGGGGCGCCGGGGCATAGTGGCTAAACTCCATGCTGAACTCGCCCTTGCCTTGCGTAGCTGCGCGAAGTTGTGAGCTGAAGCCAAACATGGCATTAAGGCTACAATCGCAAATGAGCGTGAATTCTTCACTGCCGATCTCTGTGTCATGGATCGTGGCGTTTCGCTTGTTCATGAGCATGAGAATGTTGCCCTGGAACTCGTTAGGAGCTGTGATGGTCGTCTTCATCAGCGGCTCTAAAACCTGGCCACCAGCGTCGGTGAAAGCCTTGCGGAATGCCATCTGCGTAGCCAGATTGAAGGCATAGTCGGATGAGTCCGTGACATGAGTGGCTCCGTCGTTGACAATCATTTTGGCCCCGATGACGCGGTGGCCAAGCAAAGGGCCTTTCTCGCATGCGAGGTCGAAGCCTTTGGCGCAAGCTGTCAGAAACTTGTCAGGGATATGGCCTCCCACGACTTGGCTTTCATAGTGGTTCTCATCGGGCTTTTCGTAGGGCTCGATGTATCCTGCCACACGGGCAAAGTCGCCAGGTCCACCGCTCTGTCTCTTCAGGAGGTAGTCGTAGTCGGCGCGGCGCGAAATCGTCTCCCGATAAGCCACACGAGGCTGTCCCGTGATGCACTCGGTCTTATACTCTCGTCGCAGCCTCTCAACGTAAACCTCGAGGTGGAGTTCACCCATGCCCGAGATGATGGTCTCCTCGCTCTCGGAGTCGACATGCACCCGGAACGTTGGATCTTCGCGTTGGAATCGGTTCATGGCTTTGCTGAAGCTGTCGGCATCCGCGGTCCGTTTTGGCTTGATCGACAACGACATGACAGCATCAGGTACGAACATGGAAGACATGGTGTATGGGAGGCCACCGTCGGTGAAGGTGTCACCGGACGCACAGTCGACGCCAAAGACGGCGCAAATCTCGCCGGCGCCGACCTCGGACACGTCCTCCATTTCGTTGGAGTGCATGCGCACGATGCGCGGGATCCGCACCTTCTTGTCTGTCCGGGAATTGTAGAGATACGTGCCCTTTGTGAGTGTTCCCTGGTAGACACGTATGTACGTGAGCTGGCCGTAATTGTTCTCTTCCAGCTTGAATGCCAGTCCCACAAAAGGTAACGAGTTGTACGGCACGAGCTTGACCTCCTTCTCACCCTTGGACTTGTCCAGAGCAGTATTGTCGACCTGGGCGGGATCTGGGAGGTAGTCGCAGACAGCATCGAGCACTGGCTGGACTGCCTTGTCTGCCAGCGCCGACCCCATGAGGACGGGAGTGAAGGACCTGGAAACGGTGGCTCTTCGGATAGCAGCCTTGATCTGAGCATTGGTAGGATCCTGCTCCTCCAGGAACAGCTCGGCCATGTCGTCGTCCACATCTGCGAGCTTCTCGATGAGAACTTGTCGTTTTTCCTTAGCAAGCTCCAGGAGCGGGCCGGGAATCTGGTCGGCAACCCTGACCTTGGTACCTCGGGGTCCTTCGAAGTAGAGCGCCCTCATCTCGATGAGGTCGACGACGCCTTCGAACTCATCCTCGGCTCCGATGGGAATTTGAATGGCTGCGGCGGGGACCTTGAGCTTGGAGTTGATCTGTTCCACAGCCTTCCAGGGGTTGGCACCCATGCGGTCCATCTTGTTAATGAAGGAAATGCGCGGGACATTGTAGCGCTTCATCTGGCGGTCGACAGTGGTCGTCTGTGACTGAACTCCGCTCACAGCACAGAGAATCATGACGGCACCGTCCAGCACACGCAGGGCGCGCTCTACCTCAATGGTAAAGTCGATGTGACCGGGGGTGTCAATCAGGTTGAAGTGATAAGTCTCCTCTTTGCCGTTTTCCATTTTTTTCCAGTCGCAGAATGTCGCAGCAGACTGTATGGTGATTCCCTTCTCTCGCTCGAGCTCCATCGAGTCCATCTTGGCACCCACGGCGTCCTTGCCCCTTACCTCGTGTATGGCCTTGATGCGGCCGGTGTAGAAGAGGACTCGCTCGGTGGCCGTGGTTTTCCCGCTGTCGATATGGGCCTTGAGAAGACAAGGGTCAGCAGAGAATTGGGCGGAAAGGTGACAGTTCGTGGGTTCTTACGGCGATGCCAATATTCCGCACTCGCGACAGTCGCTGGGCCTCTTCTGGGGCCATGTTCGCGGCGACATACTCAGGCGTCAGGCTGGCGGCATCTTCCTGAGCCTTCTTGAGGCTGTAGAGAGGCGGCCTAGTCAGATTCTGGATGCGCGTCGGAGGAGAGGGCCAACTCACGCTTCCTGCGCAGCGCTCGCGGGACGTGTGCATGTCCGTGTGAAGGACCGCGCGGCCTGCCAGCTCCAAGGATTGAAGACAACCGGGCTCTCGCGAGCTGCTAGGGTCGGCCCCTGGGTCGCACGAAGCAGCCGGCGATTGAGCCACTTGACGGCCGTCGATGCACTCATCTTGAAGGGCCGCGGCGTGTGGCCTGCGCGAGTCGCAAAGCGGTGTTTGCGTCTCTCGCTTGCTCGCGGTGGTAAGGGATGGTTCTTAAGCCGAGCTCGTTTTGGTCCATTTGACGGCCCGGCGGGCTCTCTGCCTCCAAGCTCGTTCGAAACTTTTTTTTTTTGGGTGGCGCTCTCTGCGCTTGGTCGCGACGGCACGTGCCTGCGCGACTAAAGGGCACCAGGACGCGAGCCGGCCTTTACCAAAAAGAGGTGCGCTGGTACGGCCGCAAGACAGTATTGTGCTAGTAGATATTTAGTGTGGGTCGAGATCGTGCCAGTACCTACGGAGTACATATTACATAATACGTCCCTACACAACAAGGCGCTCCACCATCGCCGTTGCCAGGGGCCAAGGAATTGTCACCACTTCGCCTTCTCCTTGCCTGGCATAGGTATGGCCCGGACGACGACTGCAAGCACCCGACATGATTTTCTTCGACTCGGCGCCCATGATGCCCTTGACAAACAAGCTAACCTGCGGGCGCTTTCCTGTCGGTGAGCTTCCCTTACACGCCTTACGTGAAGCGTTTGAATGCCTTGTCGTTATCCGCATCGATATATGTACGTCTATCGTATTATGTAGCGATTATGCGCCAGAACTCAACTTGGGGTTCCTTGCACGCAATGCAAGTAGAGCCGGCAATCTCGCGTGTGGCTTTTGTCGGTGCCACGCTCCACCGCGCCCGCGGCCCATCATCAACAACTGACAGCGATTATGCGAGCCAGTGTAAGCCCAACGACAAACACGCCGACTCGGGACAACGGATCTGATATGGCTGCGTCACTCCCTGCTTGGAACCCCTTCGAAGCGGCAAGACCAGATTGGGTGGCCTGGGGCGGGGGCGTATTGCTGTCCTGGTCGGACGCGGCCGTTGCTGACGGAATCGGGGCTCCGTCGCTCGCAAAAGCCACCACGTTTGTCTTGGTCGAGTTAAAGTCGGTGGCGGCAATACCGACCTGGTTGTTCTTCAGATCGTACACTACGTAGGCTGAACGCAGGAAGGTATCGCCCAGTAGATACGGCGCCTGCGTCTGATTCAGGATGCCGAACTCGCAGACGGACTGGCCACGATATGGTCCAGACGTGAACTGTGGCGCTTGGCCTGTCGAGACCGGCAATACCAGTTCGTCCATTGTGACGTTGACACGAGGCCCCTTTGGCCCGGCAAAAACAAAAGAGAAGTGGCCATCATGGTTGGCAAAGGAGCAGGGCAGGACGGCGGCGTTGACGGTGGAGTCCCACACGGCGCCCACCTCGGCCCATACCTGAGTTGCCATGTCCTGGGGCAGGTAGGTCAGTGAGGTGCCCGAGTCCAAAACTACCCTCACGGGCAGTTGTGAAGATGTTAGCGTGTCGCTGCCGCTGCTGCTGGAGGCCTCGACCGAGTACAGCGAGACGGCAAACTCTGTGTAGTTGTCTGCTCGCTTGTTGAGCAGGACCGGTAAGGTAGCCAGGTCGCCAACATACTTTTCCGTGTCAATGCCACCGAACAGTATGCTGCCAGAACTGGAGCTCAGATCGTTCAGCCACAGGCTGTAGGCAACAGTCTTTATCAGGCCGGCTTGTTGCAAAGCGACTGGCAGGTTTGGGTATGTCTCTTTGGTGGTCTGCAGCGACGCCTCGTTATTGACATAGCCGATGCCGATGAGTCCGTAGGGAACCGAAGTGGAGGTGCCAAGTCCCATTGTCAAGTTGTCGAGGGTGGCCGAGCCGATCTGAAACCGATCAGTGAAGTAGTCGCCCTTGGCGAAATCCTTGTCCTGATACTGAATGCTGAAGAGGTTCTCGCCAACATCATCGAAGGTGTTGGACTGCTGAGGATTGACTGTTGTCGCGCCGTCACGTCAGCAGGTAATGGCACGGGACCCGGGAAACAACTCAGTGGAGGGTGAGGCGGCGAGCATACAGCTTCCGAGGGGGCAGCCTCCATCTGCCTGATCTTGGCATATTTTCGCACCGCTCCACGGTACCCATACATCGCTGCTGCCCGTGTCAAGCTGTAGCGAAAGCTCCTGCCCGGGGGAGCCGATCTTGACGGTGGCAAAGTAGCCTCCCTCGTCCAAGTTATTATTGATGGAGCTGTCAAAGCTGGAACCGTCGCGGCGGCGAAGTCGAGACAGCTCGGGACGCTTGGAAATGTGCCATTGCAGCACCTGCCCCAGTGCTCCCCATGGCCCCAGGGCCAACAGGGCCAGCTCGGACCACTTCATCGCCCGATGCTCAGGGCAACGAACCAGTCACTTCCGGGCTCCGATCACAGGCAGCGAGGGCGAGGGTGAGCCGGCGGGAGTCAGTCGGGCGTTGTGAGGTAGGCAATTCGGGCTGCCTTGCCGACGGCACCTTCAAAGGCAGCACGGCGATGGCGCTTGATTGACGGGCGTCGGGACGGGCCCCGACGGGACGGAGCAGGATTCGAAGGTGAGTCGCGGCGGTCTGAGAACAGCGAGGAAAGAAAAAGCAAAGTGAGATGAAGTGCCAGCACGGGGCAGTTGTACCTTTACCATGGGTAGGTACCTACCTTACCTGCCTTGCCTTGCCCACCCGTGGTGACGCGCGCGGCCAGTGCTCGTTGCAACCTCCAGCAACTGGAGGGCTCAACTGAAAGTACTGGCGTGTGTCTTCTCTACCTCCAACTACAGGCAGATACCTACCCCGGTCAAGGCGGGTTGGCCACGGAGAGTGCCCATTTTCGTTCCCTTCATGTCGCCTCTGGTTCCTCGGTAGGCCGAGGTACCAAGTACGAACTTGCACGCGACGTTGGAGGGATGGAAGCACGTCGAGGCTGTGCTGCCATGACGCCGCGCCAGCGCGCATCATGCGAGCGCGGGAAGCCGGCAAGAAGCTTTTCAGCCCAGGTGTGGCGGCGGTCGGGTCGGGGTCTGAGACAGCGGCGCGGCACCGCAAAGCTGACGACGAGATCAAGCGCGCGCCTGCGGATACGACGGAATGAATTAGCTTCTGCCAGTGGGCCGCCGTGCCGAACCACCAACGTTGCAAGTTTCATGGCGCCTCCCGAGCAACGCACAGCCACGACGGGCGGACGCACACCGATCTACTTCCACGCGTGTTCCCGGTAAGCCCGACTGGCCTGATGATGCCGCCGTCGAGCTTTCCGCCGCCATCTCGCTCTATCCATCCTCCAGACGTCCACGTCGGAAAGCCTGCTTCTCGAGGGGGCGCGACGGACGACGTCCCCGGAGGAGCTGCCTCGTACCAGGTAGGCTTGTCGGTACCGATGTAACTTTAGTTACTGCCATCCGACAGTGCCAGATGGGCAATAAAGTGATTGCCGTCAGCAAGACTGCCACCTTTCCTGGACACTTAGTCAAGATTAGCCATGCTCAGGCCGCCGGGCAGACTGCAATGCCTGCGACGCACGTAATTACAGCAAGCAGTAAGCAGTTAGAGCCTCTGGAATCAAACCGTTCGCATACGTCATCCCGCGCCAAAGCACGCCCACTACGTACCTTGGGTAGGCAAGGTTCGCACCTCGCCTGCCTGCTAGTAGCTAGGTAGGTAATAAGGCACTCCAAGCAGAGCGGCAACTTGACGCACCTCGACCCAAATCGCAGACGCATCAAGCACGAGGAAGGGCCGGAGCTTTGGTACGTCTCGTACCTACGTGTAAGCTCAAGGCGGCGTCGGACGGGGGCGTCAAACTCAGCTCGAGCTCGGTCTTCGTCCCTTGAAACTCCCACAGCACACCCGTCGTCATCGACCCCGTCAAGGTCTCTTGTCCTTCCCGCATTCGCAAGACATGACCCAAGAGCCACTTTCGTACCCAGTGGCTCATCAACGCTCTGTTGGAATGCGTCAACGGCTTAGACCAGCTTTTCACGGACATAGCGGCCGAGTCTCCTGAGCGCCTCCTCCAGCACTGCCGTGTCACAGACGTACCCTACCCTCACGAATCCCTCGAAGTCATGGTCGCCGCCAAAGCAGTGCGACCCGGGGCACACAAGGACCTTGGTTGCGTTGAGGAGGTCTACACAAAAGTCCACGTCATTGACTGGCTTCCCTCGCTTCAAGAATTGTATGAAGGCAGTCGTTCCTGCAACCGGTCGCACCCACCGGCACACCGACGTGTGACTCTCCACAAAGGCGTTGACCAGGCCAGCATTGTGTCTTGCCAGAGACAGGTTGCGCTCGAGTAATGGCTTGTTCACCGCTGGTGACAAGGCGTAGCTCGCAACTTGGTCGTCCAGTTGGGACACGCTGATGGTCGTGTAGTCACGTGCGGCCACCATAGCTTCCATGATGCCTGCGTCTTTGCAAACGATCCAGCCCACTCGAATCCCAGCCAAGGAGAATGCCTTGGACATGGATCCGGTCACCACCGTCCTGCTGCATCGCAACGCCGTAGCTGACGGTGGCACGCTCAGACTGCCCTCAGACTGGTCATGGAACAGCGGCCGATAGACCTCGTCTGAAAGGAGTATAATCCCCCTTTGCTCCGCAAAATCGGCAATTCCCTGCAACACGTCCCCGGCTATCACTTGGCCGGTGGGGTTGTTCGGGTTGTTGATGATTATCATCTACAATCGCGACACGTGGTCAGTGTTCATCTTCACCTCTCATACCGCGTCCCCAGAGGGAGGAAACGAGCTTTGGTATTGTGGCGGACAAGGCCGCCCAGCTCCCCCAGGTCTGGGGCATAGGCCCTGTCCTCGCGCAGGCGCCACAGGCTGACTTCGGCCCCGAGGCTCTGAGGGACGGAGTACAGCTGCTGGTAAGTCGGATACACACATATGACGTGGTCCCCAGGGCCCACGAGACTATACAGGGCCAGAAAGTTGGCACCGATGGCCCCTTGGGTGACGATGACATTGTCAGCGGTCAGCGTCTCACTCGCACCTTGGCTATGCAGAGCGGCAATGCGGTCTCGAAGGACGGGGGAACCGCGGATGGAGCCGTATGTGAGCCGTGTGGCTGTCTGAAAAGGGCCTGGCCCCCCCTTATTCTCGCACAGTCGACACATGTCGTCGATGGAAATGGACGAGCAGCACGTCTCGGCCACGTTGAGCACGCCCGGTGTGGTCTCGTACTCGTCCATCCACTGCTCCACTGCGAATGGTGCGATGAGAACCATGGCGATTCGTGCCGTTGCCGCGGCTTCTGGAGGTGTCGACCAGAGATGCCTTCGGCAATGGATGACAGGCAGGTCCCGGCGATGCTGTGGCAAGGCAGTGTACTGACCTAGGGCAAGGCCATTAAGTAGTAACTTTCCACCGCTCATGCCAACATCCCAAGCTCCTAACTTAACACCAGTACCTCCAGTGCGGAGCTCCACGAACGCTGCCAAGCCAGCTCCCCCCATCGAAACCCCGCGTTCAAGCCGCGTCGGACCTTCGGCCCGCCTCGACCCATGGAGCCGTGGCCACCACGAGCTTGCGCAGCCACCTGGCAGCCCCGTCAGCACAGGCAGGGGCCATGAGAGGTGAGAAAGTCGCGAGCGAGCAAGCACTGTGGCACACGGACCTGGGCGCCTTCCTGAGACAGCCCATGCGCTATTCCGGTACGTACTGCATGTCGACTCGGGACGACGATGCCTCCCCACGTGGCCGGCCCGCGGCAACGACGAGATGCCTCGAAGCACAGGCGTCTCCAGTGGAGCGGAAGGAGGCGAGTGCTCGGGCAATCATCCATGGATGGCATGACCGGGCCAACAAGCTGCGGTGGAGCAGTGCCGCCTGTTTCCTCGCAAAAGACCATAATGGCAGTACCTACTACCTAGGTAGTACTTCTAGTACCTAGGTACCCACTGTGGTACATAGCGACAAGTACCTACTCAGGTACTTCGTAGTACTTATTGTCCACGAGATCCGACGACGAGGCAGCGCCCAGGCACGGGGACAACTTGCCCGGGCTTGAACAAGCAGGCAGCGGCCTATCACAATCCACTCCGTCTCCCCCCCCCCCATCCCCCGGCTTGGCCCATATTCATTTTGCATTGAAAGCCACCTTGGTCAGCCAGTACTAACGAGTACCCACCTCTGTCAGTACCTTACTCGTACATCAAGTGCCTAGGTACCTGCCGCGCCTCGTCCGGGTACGTACCTTAGGCACGGCACTTTGCACCTGTCCACCCCAGCGCCGTGCCGTCGTCATAGCCAGGGGCGGCGTCAGCGACAGTGACAGAAACAAACGACGCTGATACAAGCAACCAGCGTGCCTGCCCGCGTCTCATCGCTTCGGGGACAGTCCGTGTCGCCCCGCCAGCCCCGGCTCAACCACCGCACGTCGTCGCCCTCACCTTCCCCCTCCTCCGCGACATCGTCGTCAGTCACACGTTCCTCGACGCCATGGCTTCCTCGGCCCGTAGCAGTCTGCTGCTGGCCGGCACCGTCGCCGTTGCCCTCCTGCCCTACCTCACCATGGCCTACAGCAACTCGAGCCTCTCGACCGCCGACATGCTGCGGGCTCAGCTGGCGCTCATGAACGACCGCCCCGACGGCTGCCCGCCGTGGTAAGCTCTTACGTTACCAGAGCCGTGGCAAGTGAGACTCCTGCTAACGCCTGCACTTACCACAGCTTCAACTGCCTCTTGCCGGCCCATACCTGCGCCCAATACGCCGACTGCAACGAGTACAATGGCAAATGCCACTGCCCCGACGGATTCGGCGGCGATGACTGCCTTGAGCCACGTATGCACTTGAAGCCTCCTCCACCCCGAGGCCGCGTTCTTCTACCATGTACTGACCGGCATGTCGCCTAGTGTGCGGCTCCCTTGGCCGCGGCAAGGATCGGCCTATGCGCTCTGGCAGCAGTTGTGAGTGTGATCCAGGCTGGGCCGGCATCAACTGCAACGTTTGCACCGAGAACAAGGCGTGCAACGCCCTTATGGAGACGGGTGCTGGTGGTGTCTGCTATCAGAATGGCGAGGTTGTCAACTATAACCACCAGATCTGCGATGTCACAAACAAGCAAATCACGGGGCTGCTGGGCGAGCAGCGCCCGGAGGTCACCTTTACCTGCAAAAAGGAAGAGGCCACCTGCGACTTCCAATGTACGTGGACTCTGTGCCGCATTCAAAAAAAACCCACACAGGAAGATGAGCAGCGTGCTAACTCCCTTGGCTCAGTCTGGGTCGACGCCGTCGAGTCCTTCTACTGCCACCTCACCGATTGCGACTCAGGCGCCGACTTCGGCGAAACAAAGAATACGACCTCATATAAGTGTGAGCACATCAGCTGTAGCTGCATTCCCGGTCGCATGCTGTGCGGCAAGGACGGCTCGATCGACTTGTCCGACTTCCTGGATCAGGCCATTCAGGGCCCCGGTGGCTTTGCATGCACTCAGCGGGGCGGCGGTTCTCACGACTGCGCCTTTACCGAGCCCGAAATGGACAAGCTAATTCACGATCTCATCGGAGATTCCAGCATTTTGCTCGACTGCCGCGCTGGCGAGTGCCTCTACGAGACAGAAGTGCCAGGCTATCGGCGTCCAGTCAAGCAAATCAACACGCCACTAATAGCTGGCGTAATTGCAGGCTGTGCCCTCTTTGTCGTCGCCGTGATCGTCCTGACGTGGTTCCTTTCACGTCGCAAGCTCAAGTATGGTGCTATCCGCTTGGAGGACTCAGACGACGAGAGCACGAAGCTCATGGCCGATCACAAGCCCGCTGCCTTGTACTTTTCCAACGTCTCCTATTCGCTCAACGGCAAGAGCATTCTCTCCGGCATACGTGGGATCTGCCACCCGGGCGAGGTCACCGCCATCATGGGGGCGTCGGGGGCGGGAAAGACAAGCCTTCTTGATATCTTGGCACGAAAGAACAAGCGTGGTCTGGTCAGCGGCGACTTTTATGTCAACGGCGAGAAGGTTGGCACCTCGGAGTACAAGAAAGTGGTGGGCTTCGTTGACCAAGAGGACACCATGCTCCCAACGCTCACGGTTCACGAGACCATCCTCAACAGCGCCCTGCTACGACTGCCACGCGACATGGGTCGCGCGGCGAAGGAACAAAGGGTTTTGGAGGTGGAGAGGGAACTCGGAATTCACCATATCCGCGACTCACTCATCGGCTCTGAAGAGGGCAAAGGCCGCGGCATCTCGGGCGGCGAGAAGCGTCGCGTGGGCATAGCCTGTGAGCTCGTCACCAGCCCGTCCATCTTGTTTCTGGATGAACCGACGAGCGGTCTTGACGCATACAACGCGTACAATGTCGTCGAGTGTCTTGTCACCCTGGCCAAGACTTACAAGAGGACCGTCATCTTTACCATCCATCAGCCGCGCTCCAACATCGTTGCGCTTTTCGATAGGCTCCTTCTGCTGGCGCAGGGAAAGACCGTCTACTCAGGCCCCTTCTCGCATTGCCAAGCGTTCTTTGACTCGATTGGTTACGAATGCCCTCCTGGATTTAACATTGCCGATTATCTTGTCGACCTCACCATGCACGCAGGAAGCAGCACCTCCGTTGACGATGGCACTGTCGCTGCTGATGTGTCGAGCCTAGGCCCCAGTAGTACCAGAGCCGTGAAATCAATAGCGAGCATCTCCGGGGAAGACAGCAACGCGGAGCCTTCACAGTCACCGAGGCCAAGAAATCTTCGTCGGGATTCGGTTCGCGCCCGCCAGGAGCGAGAGCTTTTCACCAGGAGAAGGCATGCGGTGGACACAGCAGCCTCTTCGGACGCCGGCGGTGAGGACGCCCTAGCCTACAGGCTCCAGACCAATCCGCCCAACACCACGCAGTCCGGGCTTGAAGAGGATCCTCACGACCTGCCACCGTCCGCCATGACCGGCACAGACCTGGACCTGATGACGCAGGCGTTTAGCCACTCTAATATTACCTCTGCCATGCTTGCTGAGATCCATCAAGCCATCTCAGCAGCAGGAGAGGCAAATGGCGCCAACTCAAACGGCTATGACACCGATAGCCCCATTGCTCTGAACAAAACTGCCATGGGAAGGGGTTACGCCCGAGTTGGCTATCTGCGACAGTTTCTGATTCTTTCTCAGAGGACGTGGAAGAATCTGTACAGAAACCCGATGTTGATGCTGACCCACTACGCCATCGCCATCATACTAGCGGTCTTTTCTGGGTATCTGTTCTACGGGCTCACGGACGACATTCCGGGTTTCCAGAACCGCCTCGGCCTCTTCTTCTTCCTCCTTGCGCTCTTTGGGTTCAGCACACTTACCAGTCTGAATGTCTTCGCTACCGAGCGCCTGCTCTTCGTGCGGGAGCGCGCAAACGGCTATTACTCTCCGGCGACATACTTCGCAGCCAAGGTTTTGTTTGATATCATTCCACTGCGAATTGTCCCGCCCATTCTTATGGGGTCCATTGTGTATCCCATGACCGGGTTGGTTCCAGACTCGGCCCACTTCTTCAAGTTCATCCTGGTGCTGGTCCTCTTCAATCTGGCCGCCGCGGCGATATGCCTGTTCATCGGCATCGTATGCAAAGACGGCAGCGTCGCCAACCTCATTGGCAGCCTGGTTATGCTTTTCAGCCTGCTCTTTGCCGGCTTTCTCCTCAATCACGACGCCACGCCGGCCGGCGCTCTCTGGCTGCAAACGCTCTCTATCTTCCATTACGGATTTGAGTCGCTCATCGTCAATGAGGTGGTTGAATTAACACTAGTCGACAAAAAGTACGGACTGGATATTACCGTTCCAGGCGCGGCTATTCTCAGCTCATTCGGTTTCAACAATAGCGCGCTGTGGACAGATATTCGGAACCTCGGTATTTTCGCCGCTTCTTTCATCCTTTTGGCTTATGCAGCCATGCACGTACTGCTTGTTGAGAAGCGATAGACTCACCGTTATGAAGTTGCAAGGCTTCGCAGGGCGGAAGACGGGTTGCTGCCATGTACGAGACGAGAAAGAATAGAGCCGAGAATTTAGTGCCATTGCCGTGGAAGGAATGTGTCAGGAATGCTCGTAGACAAGTCGGAGCCACGTCGACAGCGTAGACTTTCACCTTGAACTCTCGCAATGCCTAACCATGACGTACCGCTCGACCAGTTCCGGGGGTGTGTGTTGCATCACATGGTGATATCTTAAAGGACGACGGATCGCCTGACGGTGGAGGGATGGTCGTAGCATGATTGATTATATGCCGCTGAAGCCTTCTTCACTAGTTGTACACGTATCGAACACGATCACTCCATCTTCCCGCCTGTCAGGTCCTCCGCGATTTTCTTCTGCCGTTTAACAGATCGATCATACTCGGACTCGTAGTAATCCATCAGTTTTGTTGATGTGCCCGTAGACGTCTCCAGCATGTTGGCGATGGAGGGCGGCTTGCCGTATATGCCCCAGGTGTTTTCCGTGGCACCGTAGCGATTGACAGCTTGGCTCTGCTTTCTGAAATAGTCCTCGGTGAAGAGCCTGTCAATCTCGGCGCGCAGCTCGCTTTCTTGTACAATGAAGTTCGAAGCGCTGATATACAGCTCCATGAGCGCATCGCGCCTGGCTTCTCGCTTAGCCGCGTCCCTGGCCAGAACCTTTGTGCGGCTGCGATCAGCACGAGAGAACCGCTGGGGATCCGGGTACACTTCGGTGTCCAGCATCGCGTCCAGGACAGTGCTACGTGTCAATACATCGTCTTCGCGCTCGGGGGCAGCCGCAGCCTTGTTGTGCTCGTTGAACTTGCGGCTAACGCGTGTATTGCGCAGCTTGTCGCTTGCAGATCGCCTTTCCCAGAGGGCCTGTAGACTTCCCTCGAGATTTTGTCGTCGATTCTCCGCCATTGCAGCCTTCCATCGTTGGGCATCGTTGGAAGGAGCTCGCTGTTTCGACGGCTTCGGTGCAGTGCGCTGAATGTAATCTGGTTGCACTTTTCGGTCTCCTTCGGGGCGCGGAAATATCTCCCTCGGTACGGGAAGATGACCTCTGACTCGCGGAGGCTTTGTTTCATCAGATTGAGCAGGTGTGGGAAGGCGAATGTAGGACGGTGACTCGGGGGGCACGATGTTGGATTCCGAGGGCCGCGACGTTGAGAACGTCCGAAAGGCTGTTAAGACATTGCGAAGTCCCAGACGACCATACGAGCCGGTCACGTTTGTTGGCATCTTTTCGACCCCTTACTCCCGCGGTTAAATAAGGGCCGGTGCGCAAGTCGCTTTGCAGAGGAGTCGGGTAGGGAGACGACGGCCAGTCGCATTGTAATGCTCCCGCTTCGAGGCTGGGAAATTTTGTTGGAGCAAATGCCCGGCGGTGGAGAGATGATTATCCGGAGCCAGGAGACCTGGGCGGTGCCGGGCCCAGTTGGGTGGGTGGGTCCTCTTCCTCGTCCAAAAAAAAAATCCTAGCGCAAGCGCCCAGGACAAAAAAAGTTGTTCCCCCTACTTCTCTGCGCTGCGTTTTCCGCGCAACCGCCATACTCGGCCTTGATCGCAGCAGCCGCCTTCTGCTACCTCACCCGGTCGACGGCATACATCGCAGTCATGGGAACCGGGAAGAAGGAAGCCAGCCGGCGTGAGCGCCAAGGCAAGACCGGCGATGGCCTTGGCAACGTGCGCGTCAAAGGCGAGAACTTCTACCGGTGCGCACAACAACCATCACTTTTCGTTCCACTATGCCGGCATTACTGACAAGCTCCAGAAATGCGAAGAAGGTCAAGGCTTTGAGCATGTACAAGGAGGGCAAGGTGCAGAGAAATGCAGACGGACAGATCACCAAGGCCGCCTCATACCAGTCGCGCGACATCCCAAACGCCCGGATCGAGCCAAACCGCAAGTGGTTTACAAATACTCGGGTTGTCTCTCAGGACACGCTCAAGGCGTTCCGTGAGGCCATGGCAGAGAAGGCCAATGACCCGTACCAAGTGCTCCTGAAGTCCAACAAGCTACCCATGAGCCTCATCCGAGACGGTCAGGACACCAACGGCATCAAACAGCACAGAGCCAAGATGACTGTCGAGAGCTCTCCCTTCGCCGACACCTTCGGCCCCAGGGCACAGCGCAAGCGCGTTAAGCTTGGCGTGAGCTCCTTGGAGGATCTCGCCGACGACACGGAGAAGAGTATGGACTCGTACCAAGACCGCCTGGAACAAGCAAAGCTCCTGAGCGGTCAAGGTGACAACGAAGAGCAGGTCTCCATGGCAATCGAGCCCGTATTCGACAAGGGTCAGAGTAAGAGGATATGGAATGAGCTTTACAAGGTCATTGACTCCTCGGACGTCGTCATTCACGTGCTCGACGCCAGGGATCCGGTTGGCACTCGTTGCAGAAGCGTTGAGAAATATCTCAAGGAAGAAGCCCCCCACAAGCACTTGATCTTCGTCTTGAACAAGTGCGACTTGGTCCCTACAAGCGTTGCGGTATGTCCCGATCCCTTTTTACCAAGTCATATGGGTCATCTCGCCCCCCTTTTTGATTCTCCCCGTACCCATGTTTGGTTGAAGGTCTTTGAATTACGCCCTGGGCGCTTCCCAATGCTTTTTGTCAGGACGCCTTCCTTCATTTTCTTCATGAAGGTCGTCTGTTACGGCATTGGGAGATTGAATTTGCCATTCTCGACTGCCCTAGCACCCGTGCTGGTGGCTGATGGGTGCCGTTTTGGTCACTATCGTGAGATGGCACGTGTGTCGAATGAGTTGAGGTCTACCACTGTCTATACACGACGATCCCACTGGTGACTTCTTAGTTACGACTCGTACATATTTCCTTTCTTCTCTCTTTCTCGGCCTCTCTCCGCGTTTTGTCGAAGGAATCGAATGAGTACCTGTGCTGATCTCGACAAATAGGCCGGTTGGGTGCGCAGTCTTTCCAAGGAGTACCCTACTCTCGCGTTCCATGCAAGCATCACCAATTCCTTCGGCAAGGGTTCATTGATCCAGCTGCTGCGGCAGTTTTCGAGCCTCCATTCGGACAGGAAACAGATATCGGTGGGCCTCATTGGCGGTCCCAACACGGGAAAATCGTCCATCATCAATACGTTGCTTAAGAAGAAGGTCTGCAACGTCGCCCCTATACCAGGGGAGACAAAAGTGTGGCAGTACGTCAGCCTCATGAAGCGTATTTACCTCATAGACTGCCCGGGTGTGGTCCCGCCCTCGAGTACGGATACGCCGACCGATCTTATTCTCCGTGGCGTCGTCCGCGTCGAAAAGGTGGAGCATCCGGAGCAGTACATCAGCGCCGTGCTGGGCCGGGTGAAGCATCATCACATGGAGAAAACCTATGAGTTGAAGGGCTGGGGAAATGCCACTGAACTGTTGGAGCTGCTCGCCAGGAAGAGTGGCCGCCTTCTGCGGGGTGGCGAGCCGGACCTAGATGGCGTGGCGAAGATGGTACTGAATGACTTCATGCGGGGCAAGATACCATGGTTCACGCCGGCACCCAAGGACGAGGACGATGAAGACGCTTTGGAAGGGCGCAACGGGAAACTTGGGGAGATGCCGAGAAAACGACCGGCGGATACTTCTGGCGATTCTGGCGTCCTATCGTTGACCGATGACGAAGGCAGCACTGGTGAAGGACCTTTCGAGGGTTTCGGCAGCGATGTCGACGCTGCGGGGGTGGATGGGGCGACATCTAGCGAGGACGCGGCGGAGACGTTGGGCAGTGACAAGGATGCCGTCACCGAGTCGACCGATACAGGGCGGCAGCATGGTGGTTCGCGGCCGACTAAGAGGCCTCGCCGGCGAGCCGCGACCTGACGAGACAGCGGACTACTCAACCCGATTACCCGGCCATATGCTGGGTGCGTCCGCCCACTCGTCTGGACCTAGCCACCGTGCCAGGTCTCGTCGGCCTGCCATGGTGAAGCGAGCATTCGTCACGGCCCCGTCGCCGGCACCCATAATCTCCGTGTGGCCGTCCCCGTCTATGCGGCAATGACGGACCGTTGCAGGTGAGGGCGTTTACTCCGTATATTGTGAGCGCTTGTCGGTCGGCGTACCCAGCCACCTGACTGGGCGCAGCTTGCATCCACATGCTCGTCCCCGCGTCAGAGGTTCACGGCTCAAATGATGGTAGCCGCGTACGACACTCCCTGCCGGCTGGGCAGGGATACGGCCCACGCCGGATGAAAGGTGTCGATATGTGTGATGACCTATACTAGCAATTTGATACCCATGTGTGTGGTCACGTCGACTGAACTTCTTGGCCCGTAAACTTTGATGGTCTCGCCCTTTCGCAATTGGTCGTTGATCGCCATCGCGGTGCCGTATGTGGCCGACTTGCTGGAGCCAGTGTTGTGTAAATATGTCTCGTAGCGGTAGGCGGAACAGGTCATGGACTTGCGTGATCCTGTCGACCATACGCCCGCGGCACTGGACCCTCACCTCATGTTGCTCCTATGATGCTGCACCATCCACTGTAAAGAACCGGTATAGGGTAGGCGCTAGGCCGCGAGAGCCCCTCGGTGGCTTCCTTGGCGGATTTTCCCCATTGCCACCAACCGTCCACAAACACTTCACAGCCCCATCTTCCTTTCTGGGCCAGCCATCAACGAAGTCACCGCAGCGACCTTGGCACCCACAAGGACCACTACATGGTGCATCCTTCGTGACGGCGCGAACTCCATCCACTCTTCCTGAGGTCGCAGAAGCGGAAACCACCCAGCCTCGCGACCACGCCGTCCAACCATACCAGAATGGGCTCGTCATCATCAAAATCTTCGATGGCGGCCGGCGCGGCTCGCAAGTTCCCACATCGGGCGGCGGGCATGACACCACCCCCACGGGCCCCTTCGAGGGTTGTCGGGCAGCCAGACAAGGCCGGGCGTGTCAAGAACAAAAGTACACCGAACTGTACGGGGGAACGGACAACCGACGGACGTGCTGACGGCAACAGGAGTTGAAGCCGATGGCATGGATCCCGACTTCACGCCGGGCAGCGGGTTCTCACAACGGCTCCATCAGATGGGCGTTGTGCAGCCTAATCCCACATTCTCACCATCTTCGACGGCCACGGGGCCCGAACGTGGTGGCAGTGCGCCATTGTTTCCAACGTCGCGGGCCGTCAACTCGACACTGTCCGTCCTTGATGCCAGACAGGCGCTCCAGCTACAAGCCGACCAAGATCTGGAGAATATGGGGAGGAGTGGGTATCGTGGCCGTCGTCTCCTTGACATGCGGACTGTCCTCGACGTCATCCACATGCGCGAACGCGCCGTGCCCCCCCGCGCCATCGAATCGAGACTGGGCTTGGAGCCTGGGATGGCGGACAAGCTTGGCCGCCACGGGGTATTGTCCCATGTATCAACCAGCAGGTAGAGCCATTCGGCAACGACCAGTACACGCTCTCCCGAAGTCCCGGGTATTTCTTGCCTCACCCTTCGTGGTCGCCAACACACCCGAGAGCGACAGCGGCGGGTTCCCTCTGGATCGTTATTACGATTATGTATGCCATGGCTGAACTAAAACAACTACACACAGACCAAGAACCCTGGCCTGCACCCTCCTCTTCAGGAGTATATGTTGCGCCGCAGAGTCCGCCAATAGTCAAGCTTGCTGAACGACGTCAACTGGTCGCACCAGCCTACGCTACGCGCCTGTGTCGGGAAGCAAGGTTTGCCACGCCGCGACACGACATGCGCGACGCATTCCTCTACCATGCCGCGTGGCCGCCGTCTATCCGGAGGTCGCTCCCTGTCATAAAGCTGCTGGCGTCGCTGAGAAGAAAGACGGCGGACCCACGATACTCGCTGGGCAGGCTCAGGCGCTTCAGCATGTTCTCCTTGGGCCAGACCTCCTTGCGCTCGGGGTAATCGTCAAAGAGCGACTGCAGCATCTGCGTCATGATGTAGCCCGGTGAGAGAGTGTTGACGCGGATGCCGTACTCGCCCCATTCCGCGGCGAGGCTCCGGCAGAGCTGGATGACAGCGGCTTTGGATGCGTTGTAGGCCCTGTCACGACGAGGCAGAGTTAGCTACGTCCGCCGCGCGGTAACTGTTGGGCAGGTAGCCGAGGTACAATAAACTTACGGCGCGTACATGCCGCGATTGGCGATGGTGCCACTCATGCTTGCGATGAGGCAGATGCTGCCGGGCTGCTTGAGGCGAACCATTTGTCGAGCGGCGGCCTGGGCGGTCATGAAGGCGCCCGTGACGTTGATGCTCATCATCCGGTCCACCTCGTCGGACGTGTACTCGAGCGCGGGGGTCTCGTGATTGATGCCGGCGGCGGCAATCAAGCCGTCGAGCCTGCCAGCCTGATCGGCAATCTTCTCCATGATCCTGTTGAGCTCGCCGACGTTTCGAACATCGGTCTGGTGATAGGTCAGGCTGGTGTCGAGGTCGCGGCGTGCGCGCTTGCTGATCTCAGAGAAACCCGAGGCTGGGTCGTTGGCGGGCGAGGGCAGTCTGTCGATGCAGTGCACTGAGGCGATGCGACTTGTCGTTAGCCTCCCGCGAACAGACGGACAGTCAAGGGAGGAGAAAAAGAACCGTGGTGACGGCGGGGGACGGAGGACGCGTACCGGTTGCACCGGCCTCGAGCAGAGCCTCTGCCTGGACGAGGCCGAGGCCCCTGGCGCCGCCCGAGACGACAATGACCTTGTCCTTGAGGCTGAACTCGGGCAGCAGATGCGGTCGGGTGGTGGGGTTGAGGTTGCTCTGGGACGGGGTGGAATGCATGGGCCTCCGGTCGGCGCGGGAAAGCGGGTGGAGACGGCCTGCCGCCGGGGCCGCAACCGGGGCCGCGCCGAGGCGCCCGCGAGCGAGCTGCCTTAGGGTGGGGGCAAGACGAGACATGGGGGAGCCGGGGGCGGGCGGCCGTCAGGGAATGAATGATGAGAATGGAGGGAGTGCGGGCGAGGGAGGAGAGGATGGAGGAGAGGCGGGTAGGTATAGCGGCTGTCTCTTATACACATCTAGATGTGTATAAGAGGGCACGGCACGGGTGGCATGCCGCGGTGGGCGTGGCTTGGCTTGGCTTGGCTTGCCGGCAGCGAGGGCGACAGCGACAGCGACAGCGACAGCGGCGACGGCGACGGCGACGATGCCCGATGGTCGGGACGGGCGGCCTGGGTCGCCCTCGATGGAGCCGTGGCGAGGCGCAGGACGGTCACGGGGCCACAGATGCAAGATGAAGACGCGGCCGGGGGAGGGAAGGGGGTGGGTGCTGGGCGCGGCGTGGAGGACGGGGTGGACTTGGAAAGAGGCCGCACACCTATCATCTACCAGCGTGCTTTCTGTCTCCCAACCAGCCTACCTACCTACCTATCTACCTGCCTACCTTGCCTACGAAGCTGCCCGTGCGGACAAATACTCATCCTGCTCTGCGAACGCACACACAGCGGCGAGGGGGGGCGGCGTGCAGCTCGTCCGAGCTGAAAGGGGAAAGAAAGCTTTAGGGGGTGGGGTTGGGCGATCCAAAGCTTGTTGGCGAAGTCGTTGGCAGTGGCGCACACTCTCGATCCGGGACGGGCAAGCTTAAGTGTGGAGGTGGGCCACCTTGCAGATGACAGAACTGCGTTGCCGAACAAGACTCGAGCAAGCGGGAACGGATGGGGTGGACCAAGAACCCGCTGTACGACGTGCCACGACAGTCTGCCGCTACAGGCGCCGACCACCAACATCGGGTCGGCGGTGCCATGCACGGCGCGAGACGATGCGCCACGACAGGGAGGGGCCCGGGGGGTGCACACGGCGTGCTTGGTGCTCTCCCCATATACTTCGGTACGACGTTAATGCAGATAGAGTGAGTGGGTAGCTGGCATGGCTCGCGTTACAGGCATCAGGGATGGCGGGGACGACGAAACGGGGTGTCCAAGGCACCGCGCAGGCCATATGCGGCTGGATTGAATGGGATGGGCTCGTTGCACGAGGGGACGGCGCCGTCTCTGGTCCTCCTCGTTCTCCTCGTTCATGGTCGTTCGCCCATCCAGCGGGAGACGGAGAGGGGGGGGTTCGTCGGCGGCGGGGGTGGTTGGTTTGAGGCGGTTCAAGTTGAGCCAAGCTGCGGAGAGAGACGTCCGTTCGGGACCCGTTTCAGTCCCGCCTCTGCCATGCGGGCATGGTCGTGTCTCGTCTCAGGAAGCAGAGCCTGAAAGCAAAGCGAACTAGCAAAGCGCAGCGCAGCAACGCAAAGCAAAGAAGGAGGAGGTGGTGAAATGGAGGAGGAGCCGCTTCGGATTACCCTTGTCGGCTAGCCGATGCGCCCCACGGCGCCCCACCCTCTCTGGGCCCTCCCCCGCAGCAGCTGCAGCACGCAGGCATCC